GGCAATCTTTTTAAAGATTTATTTATTTATTTATTTGAAGGTCAGAATTACAGAGACACAGAGAGAGATCATCCATGTTTTGGTTCACTCCCCAGATGGCCTCAATGACTAGGGCTGGGCTAGGCCAAACCAGGAGCTTTTTCTGGGTCTCCCAGGGAGTGCAGGAGCTCAAGCACTTGGGCCATCTTCTGCTGCTTTCCCAGCTGCGTTAGCAGGGAGCTGGATCAGAAGTGGAGCAGTCGGGACTTGAACTGGTGCCTACCCATATGGCATGCTGGCACAGCAGTTTAGCTTGCTGCACCACACAACACTGGCTCCCCTCCTCCAAGGCTGACTTTAACAGGTGGAAATAGCCAGCTCAGAAAGAGGATGCTGCTGTGGTTGAGGCTTGTTGGCTGTGATGGGCAAGTCACAGAGGGTACAGATTACAGAGGGCCCCAGTAGTGCATTTGTAGGTTCCTGGATAACAAGCAATTGGGCAGCGCCCAGGAGGGCTCCAGGAAGCTGTATTTTCATGAGGCTGTTTGGGATTCCTGGGCAGACTTGGGAACCATTGATGTCCCCAGGCTGCTCATCTACACTAGGTGACATGGAAGCCCAGGGAGGCGAGTGGGCTCAGTGAGTGCTCTCCCTGTGCTGTATGTGTGGTGTGGTGTGTGTGTGTGTGTGTGTACAGGGCTGGGAGGAGAGCCGTGTCAGGGTCTGGTCCTAGATGTCTCCCATGCCATGCCAGGAGTCTAGGGACAAACACGGAGCTGCAGGAGAGCCATGCTTGGGGAGCAAGCACAGGTACAGAGTGTTCTATGTGCATGGCCCTTGTCTGTCACCATGTCCCTGGGCTGGGAGCCTGGACTGGCAGAGTTTGAAGGCCTTGGGGGAGGTTCTGAGGCCCACTGGGCCAACAGCCCCAGATCCTTGAATCTAAACCCATTTTGTGGTCTCTGGAGCCCCAGCCAGGACCTTGAACTCAGCTGGAGACCTAAGAGTGCTTAACAGATCAGACTTGGGGGATATGGATGGGCTGGCTGGGCTTGGAGGCCAGAAGGGGAAGCTGACTGGCCAAGGGGGATCCCTGGAGCTGAGGGAGGAGGGGAAGGGGATGACTCCCAGTATCTGGCTTAGGCACTACTTTGGTGACACCGAACTAGAACCCCAGGAGGCTGGGAAAGCTGGGTGAGGAATATGTGTGGGGAGTTGGTTTTAGGGGAACGGAAAAGAAGCCCCTTTCAGGAACTTCAGCTGTGCAGAGAGGACCTGGGATACAGAGACACATGTGAGCGTGCCAGGGCCTGAGGCTGACCGAGGACTAGATCCACGTGAGGCAGAGGGTAGGTAGCCCAGGGCAAGGGCGCCCTTGGCTTGGACGTGAAGGGAGATGTCCAGGGTTCCTGGGAGTCCTGTGACTATTGCTCAGAGTTTTCAGGTGCTGTGAATATTCTGGAATGTTCTCTGTGGCCAGGTTATGCCTGTGGATTGCATTTGGAATGGGGTTGCCTGGAGAGGCTCCTGTGGTGGCTATGGGTTGGCTGGGGGCCCAAAGCGTGGGAGCCCCACCTTGCATGGCCCTGGGCTGGTAGGCTAGCAGGGATGGGCCTGGCCTGAACTGTGGCTGGCTGCTCCTGCTAGGCATGAGGCCCATGCTGGGACCCACCAAACCTCAGCCTCCAGGAAGGAGGCTAAAAATAAGGTTGTGGTGAAGCAGGGAGAGGGGGTGGGGGCTGCGCCAGGCTGGAGCCCAGAGGAAAATCTGAGGCGCCCGGCAAGCGGCCGTGACACACGCTTCCCATGCCAGCTGCTAGCGGCCTCTCACCCTCCTGTGGCCACAGTCCCTGCCAGGGCCGGAAGAGGGGGAACATGCCTCACCCCGGGCCTCAGGGCCTGCAGGAAGCTCTGTGCCCTGGGAAGTTTCTTGGACTCAAGGCTGGGCTCTGAGTGAGATGGAGTGAGGTGGGGGCTGGGCATCCTAAGTGTCCTACATCCTCCTGAAGTCACTGCTGCCCACGACTTCCTAGGGACCTTGGACACCCATTGGGGTATAGAGGAATATGCTTCTCCCTTGCTGAGAGCTGTTTGTAAGAGAGGAAATCAGGGGAGTCTTCTGGGAGGCAGAGGTCAGTGCTGGGGCTTGAAGTCACTGGAGAAGGTCCAGGTGTTTGGCATGGTGGTGATAATACTATTCCACGTTGGAGTGCCTGGTTTCAGTCCCAATTCCTCTCCTTCTGCACCCTGGAGGCAGCAGGGGATGGCGCTGCCATCCAAGTGCTTGGACCCCTGCCACCCACCTGGGAACTCCAGATGGAGTTGCAGGCCCAGCCCTGGCTGTTGTGGGCATTTAGGTAATGAACCAACAGACAGAAGATTCTCTCTCTCTCTCTCTCTCTCTCTCTCTCTCTCTGCTTTTCAAATAAGTAAATAAACATCGTGAAAGAGGCATCATTGGATGGCTGGGGTATTGTGGACATGGGATGTCTTGTGCTGTCTATCTCCATACACTTTTCTTCCCAGTATACACGTGGGGCTGTTCCTATGGGCCCCACCCTCCTGGGAGCTCTGAGTGGGGACCCTCCTGCCGCCTCCCCTTCATCCTCTGAACACTAGCGTTCTGGAGATGGCTCACCACGTTCCTAGTATGATGTGAAGGGACCTTCTCCCTTCTACCTGCACATCCACCCACAGTCATTGTGGACCAGCTATAGGCTGACCAGAGCAAAGCATGTAGGAGCCGCCTGGCGGAAGAGGCAGCTCTGGGTTCCGGCAGAGACCCGGGTGCTCTTGTGAAATGTCTAGCCATCTTCCTGTTTCCTGGCACACGGTGCCAGGAACCCTGACAGTCTCCCTAGTGAGGAGACTTCAGGGAAGCTTCAGGATGGGAGCTGGGCCCTGGGAGGACCAATGCAGGAATGGAAAGATGGGCCGTCCAGGCCTGTGCCCCAGCTTCTGTGGAGGGCCTGATGTTGGGTTGACCAAGGACCCAATGATGCTCTCCACTACCTGGATGTCACAGAGTCCGTCCACACCAGCATGTGAAGGAATGGGGCTTGGGGGCTGTCAGAACATGGGAAGGCTATGGGGGCTCCTGGCCCTTTGTCCACATCTTGCCCCCACATGCTGCTCCAGCTGTGTCCTTCAAAATAAACCAGCAACCGTGATCCCAGAGGTCTATGAGCCACTCAAGCAAATGAGGTATGTGCCAGGCAGGGGACCCCGATTTGCAGCCAGTTGATCAGAAGTGTGGGGAAGATTGCCGGGGGCTTGCAACTGATGTCTGAGGTTGGAGGCAACACTGGGGGATCTACCCTTGCCTGCGGGGTCTGACATTGCCTCCAGGAGGGTGGGGTCAGAGGACACCCAGGCAGGCTCCATGGCCCAACTGCTTGCTTGTGGGCAGGAGGGTGCCCCTGCCTTCACTGCCTGTGTGTTCGTGCTGTAAGTGGGAAGTAGGAAGCAGCGGAGTGGGCTTCTCCATATTTTTGATCGTGGCTTTCAACTCTCAATGTGTGCCACGTGACTCTGCATCTTTCTATGGAACAGAGAGGAGGGTCATAGATGCTGGCTCAGAGCCTTGGGCAGTGCTGAAATTTGGCAGGAACGAGGGCATGGGTGTTCCCAGGAGTGCATATCCATGCTCCTATGTGCCTTCCTGGTACAGGTGCTAACACAAGGAGGGGCCAGGGGTGTAGTGGTCTAAGACTGCTGGCTTAGGAAGGGTGATGGGAGGGAAGAAGTCAAGGGAGACTTTTTAAGAGAAGGTGTCTGCGTGGGCAGCTGGAGGGGATGGTGGAGGGAGGGGTTGGCAGGGCTGCACCTGTGACCTGTCTCCTCAGTGCCGGGAGCCACTGGGGACAGTGGCTATGAGAGAGAGGGAGGTGACCCCACAGTAGAAGAACTGGGGTGAGGATTGGGGAGCACATGTCATGGCTGGCTGAGATGCAATCTCCAGGGGTCTCTGGGCCTCTGAGGCAGAGTTGGCCCCTTGGGGGACCTGCTTAGTGGCTGTGCCACTGCAGGCTCAGGACCAGCTCTGTTTTCTGCCTTCAAGGCGAGGCCCTATCCCTCCACGGTGGTGGTTAAGTCATTAACGGGTGCTCACAGCCTCTTCATTACCGGTAATTATGGTGATCCACTCGGGGCTTTAACCAGGAGAGGCCGGCTCCTCCAGCTGGCAGGCTGCCGCTTCTGACCCGGTATTCTGGGAGGGCGTTCGGCATCCCCGCTAGGGTCCATCAGCTCTGCCCAGCTATCAGATTGGCCTCTCACACAGAGCTTGGAGGGTCCACTCCCAGCCCCTCCAACACACTCTTCCCTTGGAGCCCATGGATGAACCGGCTATGTCTTAGTTTCCTCATCTGTCAAGTGGAGTAACAGCAGCAGCCTTCCGGGCTATGTGAGAATTACATCTTTAATACTCAGAACACAACGCATCATTCTCAAGATCAAAAGCTCTGGGAGCTTTCAAGGGCCTCCCGCCCATGCCTAGGGGAGAGCGCCCCTCACCCTGCCCAATCCCTTTACCTAAGGATTCAAGTCTGGGGACTCACCTGCTTCCCCCTTGCATTCTGGCACCTACCACTGCCCAATAGAGATCTTGGTTATAATCTTGGGGTGCAGCTGGGGTGAGTGTGTGCATGTAGGTGTGTGCTTGCAAACATGTAAGAGGGCCACTGTGTGCTGCTGCTCTGTGGGCAGAGTCCAAGTCAGGGTTCAGGGCTCACTGCTCATCTTGGGCCAGGGTAGATTGCTCCCTGTCTCTGCACCCCAGGCCTCTGTGGTGGCTGAGAGGTGGGACCCCAATCCTTTGATGAGCTTGGGAGGGTTCTGGTAAATCCCAGAAGCATGGAAAGCCTTGGTAGGGTGGAGACCATGGCAGGGAGCGACTCTGTGGCTGGGGTGTACGACCCACGATGGGCCCCACCAGGTAGGAAAGAGGGCTGTGCTGGGACAGAGGAAGGGGGCAGTGGGCATCCAACTTCACTGTTTAGCGTCCCTGTCTTCCTTCCCAGGAGTCCTTCTGGACATCCAGCAGCACTTTGGGGTCAAGGACAGAGGTGCCGGCTTGCTGCAGTCAGGTAAGTCCTCCTACCCTTAGGCCCTCGTCCCCCATACCTCGCCTCATCCTGAGTGTTGGACCCCTGCCATGGTCCCCTACACCTGGTGCTCCCTCTCTGAGCCTCCTGTTTTGTCCTTGAACACAAGAGGAATGACATCTGCCCCATGGGGCTGGGAAAGGCAACAGGAGTACAGGCCCAGGCTCAGATCTTTCCTTGGGGCCCCAGGACTCCGTGGGGTTGTGGCCAACTACCAGGGCGCACTCCCAGGCAGGCAGAAGGATCTTGTCAGCTGGGTGATGCTGGATGAGCCTTGGTACCCTGTCTCTCTCACTCAGTCCCTCCAAGTTGTCAGCTCTGGGAACCGCCTCTTTGAGGACAAAGCAGGAAATGTCACCTGGTCAGTTCTAGAGCATGAATATCTGAGAAAAAAGGTCCTAGGCTGGACTCTGCCCAAAGCCCCCTGGCCCTTTCTCCCCTTGAGGAATGCTAACCTTCAGGGGACCTGCTAGGCTCAGGCCTGGGTCCATTGGCCCAGCCTGTTTGCCTTCCCCTACAGGGACCAAGTCTCTGCCTGCATGGCCATGGAGAACCTGAGTTTCTGGCTCCCCTGGCTGTAAGTCCCACTTGCCGTACCCTCAGCTGGAGCCCTTGACCTTCGCCTTGCTGACTCTTACCCAGAGTCTGGTGTGGTGGAGAAGGACTGTGGTTGGCATTCTGTGAACCCCTTCCCCTGCTTGGCTCTCCCAGGAGGGAGGCAGGGATGTACTACTGGCCAGGAACTTGTCTGACCTGTCTGGGTGGCATTCCAGGGTACACAATACCTCAGTGAGCTCATACAATGCCATGGTTATGGCCAAACAACCTGCTTGGCCCCAGATCCCAGACAGGACTCAGAGCGAGGCGAGGTGATGGTTCTGGTGCTGAGGCTTCACAAGCGAGCTTTGGTCAAGCCAGGTGTACCCCTGCCCTGCCCTGGCAGACTTTACCTCCCTTCTCCCACCACACCAGCATACATACATATAGTCTGAGGCAGGTGTCCTTAGCTGCCTGGGCTCTGCAAGTGCAACGGACAGCACTTAGAGTCTGTAAGATGGAGTTCAAGCCAAATGAGGGTTGAGTGCTCGCTTTGGCAGCACATATACTGAAATGAGGGTGTGGGAAGCAGCAGGTGCAGGAGAGGGTTTGGCCAGCAGCCCTTGCCCTGTGTATGCTGTAGCCCCTGGAGATGCTAGGGACCTGGCCCAAGTCAGAACCCCTCGGGTCCTGGCCTTGCTGGTGGATTTGAGCCAGGGTCTCTACTGAGCTGTGGTCCACACCACACAGCCTGCTGGGACTTGTGTGTATCAGCCCAAGGCAGGTGTGAGGGTCACAGTGCTGTGTGGTTCCTGCGCCAGCTTGGCTGCCTGGCTCTTACATAGTGGTGGTGGTGGTGGTGGGGAGTTGCACGAGACCCTGTGACCTTTTCCATGCTACCTACCCTGGCACCGCTGTGATGGCTGCTAGCCAATCCTTAGCCACCCTGGCCAAGAAGCCAGGCGAGCTAGACCAGGATGTGACTCAGTGGGCAACTCAGTAAGTGGCCTAATTGGCCTGTGCCCCGGGCACCTATCTCTTCCCCAAGACTGATAAGGTCAGAGTTGGGGTGGGGGGCGGGCGCCAGCCAGGTGTTGGTGCTTGCCCAGATCAAAGGGCCAGGGCTGGGAGCGGGGCTGCCTGCTTATTTGTGGGCACCGGGGGCTGCTGGGCTGGGAGATGGGGTGGGGGTGGGGGTGACTGAAGTCAGGCCCAGGCCTGCCCCTGCTGCTCGCCCCTAGCCCAGAGCAGGAGAGATGGCTGGGGGAGGGCCCCTTTACACTTGCTCTCAGATTATAGAAGTCATAGCCCAGCCTCTAAGGCAGCTCATGGCAGAGATACAGCAGTCTGTTTGCAGAAGACTGGGGGGATCCCCATGACTTACACTTTTTTTCTGGTGGCAATTGCCACCAAACTTGCTGCTGGCCTGCTTCTGTATTGAGCTCTGCCCAGATTCCGTCCCTCCCCTGTGTCGATGCAAGCAGAGGATGACTGGTGACATTGCCATCCAGGCACAGGGCACTGTGGGAGCCCAGGTGGAGGGCAGAGTGTGCACCTGGTCTGGCTGGAGGCAGGTAGAGAAATTGCACACACACACCCCCGCCGCCATAAGGGGGCATTGGAATGGGTACTTGGAAGGGTGAGCTGGAGCATGTTCCAGGGAAAGGACTTGCAGGCAATTGGACAGAGCGAGTAGCGTGAGACCCCTTTCCTGGTAAGCTGCATGCAGCTGGCCAAGCACTCCTGTTTGAATCATGTGGCTGGGCTTGAAGGTGCCAGCTGTCAGGGGCATCTCAGGTGCCAGAAGCAAGGAGCTGGAAGAGAAGCCAGGAGATGCGGAGGGCTTGGGGACCGGGTATGTCTCTTAGAAGCTTGTTGCAGCTTCTCCAGTAAGAACATTTTTATCATGAGGCATTCCAGTGCAGGAAGAAAGTGCAGCAAATTTCCACAGATTCATCATGCAGGCTTATCGGGAGCCAATGTCTGGCCCAGCTCCTGGGCTCTGGGTGGCTTTGGGGTCTGGACTGAGCAGGTCTGGGTCCAAGTGGCTCATGGGTGACTCAGTTCCCACCAGAGTTCAAGTCCCTAATTCCCTCAAAATTTTTTCTTTTCACTTATTTTCAAAGCAGGAAGACATAGAAACACACAAACACACATAGACTGTTTGCTGGATTGCTCCCCAAATGCTGGTAACAGCCAGGGCTGGACCAGGCTAAAGCTAAGAGCCTGGAGCTCCATCCGGGTCTCCCACATGGATGACAGGGGCTTAAATACTTGAGGCTCCTACAGCAGGGAAGATGTAGGAGAAGTGGAGCTGGGACTTGAACCCAAGCACTCTAGTAGAGAATGTGAGTGCTCCAAGACGTGTCTTAGCTGCTATACCCAACGCCCGGCCCTGTGCACCTGCTTCTGAGTTGTGTCCTGGGGCTTTGGGCAGTGTCTGCTCAGATGGATTTCTCTTCTGTGGGAAGGACACTTCCTGTGGCTCTGGCTCTGTGTAGAGCCTGGTTCCAGTCCCTGCTTATACAGGTCTGGGACTTCCAGTCTTTTCCTTGTGTGTTGGTGACACAGGGGACAGTTCCTACTGAAGACAGAGTCCATGAGAACCGGGCAGTTGCACCCCAATAGTGGAAGAGCCTGTGAAACTGCAGATGTCAGACTCCTCTAAAGGTGCTTGGTTTTCCAAATTCCAAGGGGAAGAGTAACATCTATAAGATAAGAACAGTATGTGATGAAAAGAGAGCAGCAAGATGCTTAACAGAGCAAAGTTAGGAGTGAGAAATGCAAGCTTTAAGATGTTGGATAATTAGATGAGTTAGTGAGGCAGATAGAACCAATTGAGGAGAAAATTGGCAAGCAAGAAGGCGAGCCTGAGGAAGTCAGGGTAGCGTAGTTTACAGCAGGACCAGCCAAAGTGGAGGTTGTGCTTCAGAGGCTGGGGCTGACTGTGGGCTGGCAGCGGGCAGGCGTGCAGGAAGCAGGCAGGACGCTGGGTGAGGTCTGAATGTGAGGAGCCTAAATGTGAAAGCAGGAAGCTTTTGGGTTCTGTCTCAGGACTATGGGGAGCATGTGGTGGCTCTGCCACATGTGTACATGTGGGTGTTGGGGCTGAGTGAGGGGATCGCAGAGTGGAGCAGGCTGGAGGCTGCTCAGGGCTGGGGTTTGTAGGGGTCACAAGGCAGTGCTGGGCTAGAGGGACAGAGGAAGAGCCAGCTCAAACTGAAAGTAGACTGTGCCTCTGCATGGGAGCTGCGTCTTCTCCTGCCCTGGCTCTCGTCCCTTCCTGGGCCAGTTCAGCGATGTTCCCTACAGAGCTGACCAGTTCCTGTGGCCGTCTCTGCCTGTTCACAGGGAGGGCCAAGAACCTCACCCCCACCACACCCCAGGTGTAGGTCCAAGGGGAGGGGGCCCCAGTCCTTCCTGTGGAATCTGGGCATGGTGGGTTGCCAGGAGGTAGCATGGTCATCTGTTCTCTGTCCTCCCCGTGGGTGGCAGAGCCCGACCCCAACCCACTCACGCCCACTGAGCATCCTCCTTGCCTCCAGCACATGGAGGGTGAGGACTTTTCACTCTGTCACCATCAGTCAGAGTTTGGGCTGTATGAAAATAGTCCTGGCCCAGCCCATACCACAGCAGTAGCTGTATAAGCTCTGCAAAGCCACGAAGTGGAGCCCAGGGTGCCCCAGTGTAACCCTGACTCTCCTGCTATGGAACCTGCTTCTGGGGTCAAGCAGGCTACAGGCACAGAGCCCCTAATGAGAGCTGATCTGAGCTTCTGGGTGTACTAGCCCACTGGGTTCTGTAATAACCTTGAGAGGTGGCCTGCCCCTTATGTGTGGTGGCTTGTACTCCCCACTCACAACACCCCGGCCCCTGTGTTTCTGATGACTTCCCGCCAGCTCTGGGAGGAATGATGGGAAGACGAGGAAGTAGAGGGGAGTGGGTACCATGGCCTAAGTCCTTGCATTGAGCTGGGCTCTGGCTCCGCCCACCTGTCTGTCTCCAGCCCTACCTCCCCTGCCCTGGCTCCCTGCCCTGCTGCTCCATTGTCCCAGACCTGTGGGCTCAGCAAGCGAGGGCTTCCCCACCCCCCAGCCACAGGATATTCTTGTGTGGGAATTGCTGGGAAAGCTACCGCCACCAAAATCAGAGGTGGGGCTGCCAGATGCCCAGAAAGCTCTCCTCCGACAAACAAAGACCAGGAGGTTGGGGGCTGCTGGGCTGGGGAAGCGTCTAGCCCGTCCCCCCCGCCTCCCGCCTCCTGCCCCCGCCGGCCTGGTCTGCTGTTTATTCCAGCAGATCTGCCTGCCGGCTGAGCTGGCCTGCATGGAGCCAGGGGGCATGGCTCCCCTGATCTCCAACCCAGGCAGGCCTTGCCATGGGCACCTGGGAGTGGTGGTCTTCCCATCCCTCCCCTGACTGTGTCCGTGCCACCCCTCTGCCTGTGCCCTTCTCCAGGACTGAGAGAGGTCCCTGCTCCTATGTGCCCTGACAGTGGGCTGGGAGGGCAACATAGAGGGTTGGAGCCCAGCTCTTACCTGACCCTGAGTCCCTTTGTCCCCCAAGGGCCAGGTGGCAGGCCAGGTCCCTGCCTGACTTGCTAGGACAAGCTCTTCTATCTCTCAGGGTCTTGGTGAAGCTCAAGAGAGCTAAAGGGGAGCAGGTGCATGGCGATCTTGGCTAGGCTGGGGCCAGCAGGTAGGAATGTGTGGAGAGTTTGCCCCCCAGTGCTGGGTGCTTCTTGCCCCCGTGGAATGAGTAGGCAGGAAGCCAGGAAGCTCTGTCCTTCTCCTCTGCAGGCTAGCTGGGGTCTGCCCCCTCTGTCCACCCGGAGGAAGCCTGTCTAAGGGCACCGCATTGAGGGTGGGCAGTGCGTGCTGTGACTCCCCATACCAAAAATCGAATCTGGTGCAGGTCTGTAGGACCCAGAGTCCCTTGATGACCTCGTCTCGCTCTGTTAGCTCCCCGCCCTGATGCAGCCTGCCCTGTCCCCCTGCCCCATGCCCAGCGTATCCTCAGCTCTCTCTTACTTCAGCAGCATCATTTGGGGCCTTCTCTCTTGGCTGTCCGGCAGTCTGAGAAGTGACTGAGAGAGTGGACACTGGGGTCCACCTAACGGGGGTTGACATTCTGGCCGTGCCATGCTCATTGTTGCAACATCACTCCTCTTGACCCCCAAGGGGACCCAATGTGATGGGCTATGTGCATGTCAGGGTGCCTGTGAGTGCCTGGACTGTAATGTAGTTAAGTACCTCATAAATGCTAATTGCAGGTAGAGTGAACAATAAATGGTGTGTTTTGTTAGCTGCTATATGGTATGGCTTATGAGACTTAGAATTGATGTTAATTTACCTTTGCTTGATTTAAACATTGGTGTCATGGCAGACTCCTAGGTGTGCTTGCATATCACCACCTCCACGAAGCCTTCCTACATTCTCCTGGCAGGATCTGGGGCTCTCTGCTGGTTTCCCACAACCCAGTGACTCGCTCTGCTCTATAGCCAGATAGCAGGCAGCCCCTTCTCAGACCAGCTTCTGTCCACTGGCCTCCCTCAAGCCCTTGGGCACAGACAGACACAAAGGAGATGGCTCGTTTCTCCCCCTGGAACCTGCGTGAGCCCAGAGGAGATGAGATCTCTGTGCCCCCACATCCTGACGAGCCTGGACAGGTGCCACAGCAGGAATTCTCCTGGCTGGGCAGCAACAGCTCCCGCCTTAATGTCCACACTGCCCGGTGATGACCACGGCTGGCGGCGCTCAATGGGGTGTGACCTGGGCACCTTCCGGGCAGCACCAGGTCCAGTTCTCTGAGCAAGCGAGAGCTGCTATTTTTATCTTCCTCTGACACATGAGGAAGTTGGCAGCACGTGGGAGCCCGGCTTCTCCCGTAGATTGTTGAATTTTCAGGAATTGTGTGATCTGCTTATTAAACACAGCCATTGTTAGACGCCAAAATGATACAAACTTACCATTCAAACATTTACAAGAAAAACAAAGCTGATAGATAAATAAATACTCCGGAGTCAGCCTTTAGCTATTGTCTGTGATCTTAAAGCCAGGGTGGAGGTTTTATCTGTAGGGTGGTGCTGCCATGCAGTGCAGCAGGGTCCCCACGGTCACTGCCCTATACCTGCTAGTCTAGTAGAGGGCCCTCATCTGGTCCCCTCCATTCACGTTTACCTCCCTCCTCTTCTCCCAGCCCCGCCTCCCCTGGGCTCTCAGGTTGTTTCAGGAGCAGTGAGGCCCAGGCACACAGCCTGCTGGTCAGAGGGCAGCCCACGGCCGCCTTGTCTGCCCGCCCCTGCCTTTGTCTGGCCATCTGCCCGTTCTCTATGGGACGAGGGACGGCCTCGTTGTGTGACTTAGGGTCTACCGTGTCTTGCTCTGGGCCTCCTCCTCCTGCCTGGGACCACCACGGCCCCTCCTGGCGCTGGTTGTGGCTTCCTCGGGCAAAGACTCAGCAACCCTCCTGTTTTGAGAGAACAAAGCCGGGTCATGTCACTTCTTTGTTTGGCATCCCTTACTGTGTTCTCACACTCACAGAGGCCGCAGTCATCACAGAGGGTCATCAAGTCCTGCCCATCTGGCCTCCCAACCTGAGCTCTACTATAGCCACTTGGCCTCTTGGCCATTCCGCAAATGTCCCCAAAACACTTCTGCCCCAGGACCCTTGAACTTGCTGTTCTGGCTCCAATGTTTGCATGATTTGTTTTCTTACCTCCTGCAGGTCTTTGCTGAAATGCCCCCTTCTTGGCCCTCTGTTTAGGCCTGCAACATCTGCTGTATCCTACATATATGTCCTGGTCCCTGGTCTGACCTTTCTCCCATCCTTAGCACTTAGCATTGTGTCATGTACTAAGTTACAGATGGACCACGTGAAAGTTCCAGAGGGGAGGAATGCTTGTCTACTTTGCTCACTGATGTGTCCCAGATACCTGAAATGGTACTGGAAAGAAAACATTCATTCATTCATCGTTGAATGAATAGGCAGCTGGATGGATGGCGGGCTGACAATGAATGAATGACAGGGGTTCTCCCTGTCAGGACAACACTGCAACCTGCCATGTGAATTGATGGGTGTGAGACCCTGGCTTTGCTTGGCTGCCCTGCTTGGCTGTGTGACCCAGAGTGGATGGTTCCCCCTCTCTGATCCTCTTCCTCGGGCCTGTGAGAGCGGCAGTGTGGCACAGTGGATGGATTATTACAGGCCAGGCAGGAGGCACATCCTCTGGGGTGGGGCGTCAGGTGGGCTGTTCTCTCTCCCTGCCTGTCTGCCAAGCTGGCAGGTGGGAAGAGGTGGAGAAAAAGATACTGAACCTCCTGCCTGGCGCCGGGCATGCAGGAAGCACCCAGGAAATAGGGGGCTCCCCAAAGCCCAGACAGGCCAGGCCTGTGTAGGAAGGAGGAGATGTGGAATGGGATATCTTTGGCAACCCCGGCCAACGGGCTGGCAGGGCTGTGCTGCGTCTCCAGATCCTCGGCCTGCAGCTGGGCTGGCGGATACCCTCGGGGTAATCCTCAGACTTTCCTCTCCCCGTGCAGTGTTCATCTGTAGCTTCATGGTGGCTGCCCCCATCTTTGGCTACCTGGGTGACCGCTTCAACAGAAAGGTGATCCTCAGCTGTGGCATCTTCTTCTGGTCGACCGTCACCTTCTGCAGCTCCTTCATCCCGCAGCAGGTGAGGCCTGGCCCTTGGGGGTTGGGGTGGGGATTAGGGGAGGTGTAGTAGCCAGGCTGCAACCTGTGTGGGTCTAGACCAGGGGGTGGGGTGGAAGTGCAGCTCTGTGGCCTGCATGTCAGTCAGCAACATCCTGGGGCAGGAAGGCAGGGGAACCTCAGATATTTTCATCAACCAGCCTTGCAGGGTGGGTCTGCTCCATGGGAGCTGCAGCCCTGGGCCACTTCCTAACTCAGCCTTTCTTCCTTTTGTAAAAAGAATGATCTTTTTAATTTTAATTCGTTTCTTTTACTTGCATGTCAGAGCTATATAGAAAGGGAGAGATGGAGAGAGAGGTCTTCCATCTGCTGGTTTACTTCCCCAAATGGTTGCAATGGCCAGAGTTGGGCCAGTCAGACATTGGGAGCCAGGAGATTTTCCAGGTCTGCCATGTGGGTGCAGGATTGCAGGAAATTTCAGCCATCCTCCCCACTGCTTTCCCAGGTCACAAGCAGGGAGCTGGGTCGGAAGTAGAGCAGCAGGAGCATGAATCAATGTCCATATGTAATGTTGGTGCTTGAAAGGGGAGGATTAGCCCTCTACAGCACCAGCCAGGACCTGATTTATTTCTTTGCTTATTGCACTTAAAAGGCAGAGAGACAGAGATCACAAGAGAGACTGCTCACGTTCAGGTTCACCTCCTCTCCCCTAGGATCTGCCATGGGTGGGGCTGGGCCAGGCTGAAGCCAGCAGCCATAACATGGGTGAGCAGGTTTCTCATCCCACATGGGTGGCAGGGACCTAAGAACCTGAGGCCTCACTGCTGCCTCCTGGGCAGGAAGCAGAGTGGGCAGGATTTGAACTAGGCACTGGATCTGGGCTGCAAGAGTTCCCAGGGAGCATCCTAACTCCGCAGCCATTCTGACTCTGAGCTGGCCTCTCTGGTTGGGGAACAAGTCTGGCCCAGGAGTGGGGACCCTGGGTTTGAGTCCTGGCTCTGTCGTTCCCTGGCTGTGTGATTCCACCCGAGTTACTGGGCCCTCTGTGGATCAGGTTTAGTTTGCTCTTTGAAGACCAGCCAGCTCCTTGCATGCTGGCTCCAGGTGCTGGAAGGCAAATGCTGGTTCACACAGAGGCTCCTCATTTGACTTCCATGGGCCTGCATTTCAATGGCCCAATCTGTGGCCTCCTTGGCTTTGTGACTTGAGGAAACTTCCCAACCCTCTCTGAGCTCCAGTTTCCTTCCTGTCAGAACAGAGAGGCTGCCACTCAGCTCACAGGTCTCTTGTGACAATGTTCAGACCCCAGCACGTGGCAGGTGTGTGACTAATGATCATTCCTGGTCTGTTTGCTAAAGAGACCTGTTCCTGGGACGGGGTGAGGCTCTCATTGTGAGGGGCAGGCAAGTGCACAGTAGACAGTCACAGCGAAGCTAAGAGAGGTGGGGGAAGCCAGCGAGAGGACCAGGATGTGTCCTCTAGGCACTTGCTGCTGGGCTCTGTTATTTGGGGTACCCAGGTTTGAGGGTGGCAAGAAGTACATCCCAAGTACTCAGGATCCCCACTGAGGAGAGAGCAGTCTCTTGGGGAGGACTTCCTGGAGGAGGCAGTGTGTGAGCTGGGCAGGCAGGATTGAACTAAGTGGCCTACCTTGGTGAAGACCGTGTGGGCAGTGTGTTGGGCTGCAGACAGAGGCAGGGCGTGGACCGCAGCCTTGGAGAGCCTTGCACACTGCGTCGGGGGCCTGGGTGTCCTCCCAGGTCTTTACTGAGCCCTGGGGAAGTCAGCAGAAGAACAGTGGGAGGAGTGGGGACCAGAGGAGGTCAGGAGCAGCTTTCTGAAAAGTTCAGGCCCACCCCAGGGAGAGCCAGGTACAGCCTGGCGGCCACAGGAAAAAACAACTAATTGGACCGAAAGCGTCCAGAGTGCCCTGGCCGCCTCCTGTCCTTGGTCAGGACCCTGATTTCTGGTCCCTAGGTTAGCTTTTAGGACGGATTAGTGAGTCCAGGACCATGAAGCCTGGGCTGGAATCCCTGCTGGGTTGGGGAGAGACACAAGAAGGCAGAGAGAGAAGCAGATGCTTCCCCCACCCCACCCCCACTGTGAATCCATCGATTCACGCAGTCGCAGTCCAAGTCCCATGGGAGTTTTTGGTGGCCCTTGGCAGTGCGATTCTGCAGTTAATTTGGCAGGAAAAGCATCCAGGAACAGCGAAGAACACTGCAAAATGTCACCATGGAAGGGGATTTGCCCAATCAGCTCTCCAAACACAATTCTCCAACAGCTGGGGGAACAGACCGAGATTCAGGAACTGGGGTCCTGGTTTCTATGGGGATTTAGTGTAGGATGAAAGTTGCAGCTTAAAATAAGTGGTTTGGGACCGACTATCCATCCAGCATGATCTGGCTTTAAAGGCAGACTGCAAAGATAAACGCCAGTTAGGTGACAGCAAAGCAAACCACCAGCTCTACTAGTCCAGGACATTTGTGGAAATCAACAAGGAAAAGACCAAGAAGTCAAGTGCAAAGATGAACAGCAAGGGTGGTTATAGGAAATTCCAGGAGGGAATGCCCACGCGGTCCATAAACCTCCCCGGCAATCGGTGAAATGCAAATTACATCAACAATGCTGTCCCATTTCACACTCCTTGGTTTGGCAGCAATTACAAAGGCTGACATAAGCGAGTGTTATTAAAGCTGTGGGGAATCAGGACTCAAGTGCGGCTGGTGGGAGTGGAAATTGGTGGAGCCTCTTTGGGGTGCCAGAACAGAACAGCAGGATTTTGTAGGATCCTCATGGCTCATACCCCGCAGCCCAGCCTGTGACTTCCGGGGCGAGTCCTAAGAGAGGGAGTCCAGCTCCTGGATGTGTGCCAGGGCACTTCAGCAAGTACATAGAAAATGGAATGAAAAGTTTATTTTCCTGCAAAACGTCTTTGAGATCCATGCACAGGTTTTTGTTATACCCCCTTCTTTTTTCCCTTGAGCTCTTTGAAGACTTTTCATATGCATGGATTTTGAATTTGTTTTGGCACCAAACTCTTGATCTTTTAATTCTTTTTTTTTTTTTTTCCCTGGGAGCAAGCATTTAGTCTGATTGTTATGGAGTCCATTCTTTACTCCAGTTTCTGGCTGGATACTGGCAGGGAGGCAGCAGTGATGGCTCAGGCAAGTGGCTTCCTGCCACCCACGTTGGAAAACCTGGATTGTGTGTCCAGGTCTTAACGTTGACCCACCCCACGGTTTTCCTGGTGGGCATCTAGAGAGTGACCTAGCAGGTGGCAGCACTACCCCCCCACCCCCATGTGCCTCTCTGTTGCTCAAACGAGCACAGTGTAAAAGTGGAATTGTATTTGCCACCAATGTTTTCAACTATGCAATACAGCGCTGTGCTGCACCCAAAGCGAAAGCGATCTCTTGGACTGTGTCTGGACCCTCACAGGTGGATGCAGCATCTTTACTGCAGGTGCTGGACCATGAAGGTCTGACCAGAATGTGTGTTAAAAGCCAGCGTTGATGGCTTTTAACAAGGCAGAAATGCAGTGGCAGGGAGGAGGATAGGGATGGAGGACACAAGTTGTGAAAGATGCAGGGAGAGATTCTTTCAGACTCACTTTAGAGAAGCACACACAGGATATGATATGATGTTTGCTGGTATATAAGTGGGCCACTCCCGGCAGAAGTGGCTTCCCAACCAACCACAGCCTGGCAGGTGCCTGGGGGTGGGCTGGGTGCTCACAGGAGACCGGCAGAGAGGGAGACACGTCTTCCCCCACCTCCACATGCAACAACAAGCATCAAATTTGAGATGATTTGCATGATTTGGGGATACAGGAGACTTTCCCAAACGACATGTGTAAGCCAGAAGCCATGGAGCTGGCAATGCGCGTGTTTGACAGCTTCCCATTCAGCCACCTGCAGCCTCTGCAGGGAAAAACACTGCAAACAAAGAGGCTGGTGCACATTTAGGCTTCAACTCCTGCGGTGGAAGATGCTGAGAAACATGAATGTAAAACAACAAACAAAACACCTAAAACCAAAAAACCAAATGGCCCAATAGAAAAGCAGGCAGAAGCCATGGGTGGGCAGAAGATTCCTGGGGAAGGAAACAGGCGAGGAACTCGTGGAGGTCCAGGAGCTGGGGAATGGGGAGCTGTGTGAGAGGCAGGCAGTAGGGGAGCAGAGACCTGGGCCAGGGATGGATATGGGCGATGCTGGCCAGATGGGTGGCCAGGGTGAGCCCGGGGAAGGATGACCAGCCTGAGTTCTCAGGCCCCATTGCAGATGGGCAGACAGAGGCTGGGTTGGTGGTGGGGGCAGGTTCATGTCAAAGGGGCAGCTCCACCCTTCCCTGCTCAGCCAGGCTTTGTCCATGGATGTGGTAGTGATGGTGTGGAGGGGCTCAGCTCACTGGGTTGACTTCCCTGCTCCCTGCCTGGGGAGGGAGGGGTCACACAGTGGGTATGTATGTGTAGGGGGGTCAGATCCAGAGAGGAGGTACCCCTTTTTGGGGCAGGCCCAGCCTGTGATCCCAAGGCTGATGGGGACAGAGGCATCAGTTCAAGCCATACCACTCTTGACTTGGGAGAGGTCAGTGCCATGCTAGCAATGGGCTAAATGTTCTTCAGACCCACTCTACAGAGGGGGCACACTGAGGCCCAGAGAAGCTCGAGTTTGGATGTTGGATGCTGCAGGTCGGACTAGGAACAGAGGCTAAGGCTGGGGAGGAGAAGGAGTGGGGCCTCGCCAGCATCCCCTTGCCTTGTGCCCGCAGTACTTCTGGCTGCTTGTCCTGTCCCGGGGTCTGGTGGGCATCGGCGAGGCCAGCTACTCCACTATTGCACCCACCATCATCGGCGATCTCTTCACCAAGAACACGCGCACACTCATGCTGACCGTCTTCTACTTTGCCATCCCACTGGGCAGGTGAGAAGTCCTCAGGGTGGGAAGACGGACAGGGTTCCTCATCGTTCTGCCTACCCCTTGGGTCTGGCCCAGGCTGATGCCACTGGCTGACTAAATATGCAGGCAGTTGGCCTTGGAGCTGCCCCCTGACCAGCAGGCAGTGTGGTGGGGCCGGGTGACCTGGCGTGTAGACTCAGCCTGGACTAACGTAGGTTGTGTTTCCCCACAGCGGCCTGGGCTACATCACCGGCTCCAGTGTGAAGCAGGCGGCTGGAGACTGGCACTGGGCCTTGCGGGTAAAGCCTGGGTCCCCTCCCGTGAGGCCACCCTGACTTCAGCCCTAGCCAGGGTTTCCTAAAGAGTTAGCACAGGCCTGAGCCCCGCCAAGACAAGGGCTTCTGCCCTGGCTCGCTCTCAGTCTCCACTGAGGTGTCAGGGAGCTGGACCCAAGCCCACTGCTCTTGGCGTTGGATTCGGCCCCCTTGGGAGTCCCCGGTTGGGTGGATGAAGGATTCTCTCTGGGCACAGGCAGACCAGGAAATTCCAGGACCACTCCCAGCCCTGGCACTGTGTTAGCCTGAGGCCAGGGCCAGACCTCTACATGGCGTAGCAGTGAGGAGGGGAGGTGTGTGTGTGGGGGGGAGCGCTCTGCAGCCACTTCCTGTCCCGCCAGAGGCAGGTATGGGGCAGGTTACCAAGGCCCCAGGACAGCACAGTAATCACAGGAAACAGAGATCCCCAGTCCCTCAGAGCAGCGGAAGCTTAAGACAAAGTGTTTTTTCCTCAAAAGCAGGAAGGAAGCAGCCTCCGTGGAATCTAGGGGTGGGAGAGGACCTCCCCCAACCAGGGGTTCCCAGGAGGGTGGGGTGGGGTTAGATTTCACAAGGGGTGGAGTCTGGGATGGCCCTCTCCCTTCCAGAGAGAGACCTATAGGCTGCAGAAACTGTCCCTGATGTGGAGCAGGACATGGGGCCTGTGAGCTCTGTCCTGGTGAGATGTGTCTGCTCCATAAGCTGGGAGCTTGGTACTTGGTCAGTCCCTGCCCAGACCCCAGGCCGGGGAGCTTCCCAGCACCAGGTTACTTGGGCAGGACAGGCATCAGGCTCCTAGACCCTGGGGTTCACTGTTTCACGTGTCTGTCCACCCACTGACTGCCTTCATCTGTTCTCTGTCATGAGTCCGTCTGTCTGTCCACCTGCCCTTCCATCCCTCCGCCCATTCACCACTCATCTCTTCGGCCCTGCTCCCTCCGTCCACCCCCCGCCTCCCTTCTGCCTGTCAATCTTCCCAGGTCCCTTCCCTCTGGACAGTCTGCTTCCAGCACTCCCCATAAGCCCTTTCCTGTCCTCAGCCCCAGGAACACTGCCCAGTGGTCCCGTGGTGGAAAGCTGAGTGGATGCCCACCCAGAGAAGAGGCCCAGGGCTCTGAGAGGGCCTGGCATGCCCAGGGTGCTGCTGGTGTGGCAGGGTCATCACTAGCCTCGGCCCTGGTGTCCTCACCTCGTGCTCCTTGGCCCACCAGGTGTCCCCCATCCTGGGCATGATCACAGGAACCCTGATCCTTGTGCTGGTCCCAGCCACCAAGAGGGGCCATGCAGACCAGCTTGGAGGGCAGCTCAAGGTTCGGACCTCATGGCTCCGGGACATGAGGGCCCTCATCCGGAAGTGAGTGGCACCCAGGGGCCGGGTGGGAAGGGCTGGTCACCTTCATAGATCCTGGGAGGGAGGGCATTGCAGGATACTCTGTCCATTGGGGAGGGGCAGGGGAGGCGGCTGGAGGGCCACGTTCAGTGTCATCACTCGGCTCCTCCTTCCCCAGCCGTAGCTACGTCTTCTCGTCCCTTGCCACGTCGGCCGTGTCCTTCGCCACAGGCGCCCTGGGCATGTGGATCCCACTCTATCTGCACCGTGCCCAGGTTGTGCAGAAAACAGCAGAGACCTGCAGCAGCCCTCCCTGTGGGGCCAAAGACAGGTGGGCCAGTGGATGGTGGTGCAGGAGACTAGATGGGACAGCCCCTGTGGCTCCCCGAGCCCCAACCTGTGCCCCTCTGTCCTCTGTCCCCACAGCCTCATCTTTGGGGCCATCACCTGCTTCACGGGCTTCCTGGGTGTGGTCACGGGTGCAGGAGCCACACGCTGGTGCCGCCTGCGGACGCAGCGAGCCGACCCGCTGGTGTGCGCCGTGGGCATGCTGGGCTCTGCCATCTTCATCTGCCTGATCTTTGTGGCCGCTAAAAGCAGCATCGTGGGTGCCTACGTGAGTGCAGTATGGAGCTGTGCCAGACATGTCAGGTGGGGTAGCTCAGCTGGACCTGGCCAGTGGGGGGCAGTGAGGCCCCTGGGCCCCTGACCCTTGGCTGCCAGGTCCTGTGGTAGTAAGTCATGATGTTTCTGGAGCCACTGCTTGTCCTGATAGTGGTGAGGGGAGGAGACGGGGAGGTGGGAGGCTTTGGGGGCAGGGCACTGGAAGGTGGAGGGGCCCCCAGTGATGGTGGCTCTGTCCTGTGTCAACAGATCTGTATCTTTGTTGGGGAGACACTGCTGTTTTCTAACTGGGCCATCACCGCGGACATCCTCATGGTAAGCCAGGCAGGCTGGAGTGGACTCGTGCCCACGGGGGCCTCGTGGTGTGGGGGATTGGAGGAGGCTGGAGGAGGTGGGACAGAGATCAGAGGTTTTGGGGTATGGACCAGGGCAGGCCCTGAGACACGAGAGCTGAGCAGGCGAATGGGATGGGATGTGGGGGCTGGGCATGCCTCAAGGCTCAGGTTTGTGGCTGGGAGGCTGGCAGTGCCAGGCTGGCACAGAGGTGGTGCTGCCAGCCAACAAGCCTCCCCCCTCGCTGGGTGTCTGAGCCCCTACCAATCCGCGTCTCCCAGCTCCACCCTGGTCCCAGGCAAGCCTGTGGCTGGGCTGGGCAGACAGAGGCAGTCTTCACGGGGCCAACAAAGGGCTCCAGACCCACTGGCCAGAGGCACAAAGCACTCTGTCTGGGGATGGGAGCAGTGAGGGAGGAGCTGGAGGGATTGGGGGCCAGCTCGTGGCAGTCTGGGGTGGACATGGCGTTTGCTTCTGCCCTCCAGGGAGAAGGGCAGGGCGGCTGGAGGTGCTGGGCAGACAGGATTCCCTGGGGTCTGCCTGGAGCCAGCCAGAGGCAGGGGCAGAATGGGGTCACCGTGCAGGCCCTGGGGTGAAGGGAGGAGCAAGTGTGTTGGTATCCAGTGCCCTTCCCCTCCCCCCACTGCAGAGGCAGCCCTGACAGCCACTTGACAGGGTCTGGGTCCCAGGGAAATCTGTCCCAGTTTATTAAGTATCACAGCCATGTGACTAATTAGTGCTGCAAACGGGGCCATGCTGCCTCATCGGATTCAGGTCTCTTCCAGCCCCTTCAGACATCCCAAGAGAGTGCCATGTGGGCACTGCTGCCCTTACATGCTGTCTGCAAAGGCATCTGCCCTGGATACACATGGTGCAGCCCAGTGGGGTCTGGCATCAGAGGCTGGGGGCACTCTGGGACCTGTCCCCACCTTGCTGGCCTTTCTTAGGGAGAAAACCAAGAGGAGGCTTTAGCTCACGGGAGGTGTGGGTCAGAGGCAGTGTTCTGGTCCCGGAGCTGCCTGGGATGCTGTGGTTGTGTGGGCCTCCCTGTCTCTAGGCCCATGGTCAAGTGCACAAACAGAGGAAGAGGGTGAGCTGGGTGCAAAAGGTGGCAGGAGCTTGGCCAAAGTCCCGAGGCTCAAGGAGGCGTGCTGAGGCTGCCCCAACTGGAGCCCATTGGTGACTCCAAATGATTCTCCCCTTTACAGGATGGGGGTCCTCCTGGCAGGAGAGGGCTAGAGGGGGCAGAGTCCAGGATTGCAATAGAACCGAGAGCAGAGGGCAGGGCTGGGGGCTCCCACAGTCTGGGCAGGGGTGAGCACTGGCTCCTCCCTCCCTGACCCATGTCTCTCCACAGTACGTGGTCATCCCCACCCGTCGGGCCACTGCTGTGGCCTTGCAGAGCTTCACCTCCCACCTGCTGGGGGATGCGGGAAGCCCCTACCTCATTGGCTTTGTGAGTAGCCTGGTACGGGGAGTTTGGGCGGTGGTGGGTGGAAGTTTCAGGATGGGCGAGGACATTCAGCTCTGACCCCTTGCATCCTCCCAGATTTCCGACCTGATCCGTCAGAGCACCAAGGACTCCCCGCTCTGGGAGTTCCTGAGCCTGGGCTATGCGCTCATGCTTTGCCCCTTCGTGGTGGTCCTGGGGGGCATGTTCTTCCTTGCCACCGCGCTCTTCTTTCTCAGCGACCGTGCCAAGGCTGAGCAGCAGTGAGTGGGGCCAGGGAATGGGGAGCAGGGTGGGTGTCCAGCGGCAGCACCTTGGCCTCCTGGCTCACAAGCCCGTGTCATAGCCAGGCCATCAGGTGCCATGGTTTTCTCTCCCAACTCATGGTTTTTGCAGCAGCACCCCCAAATCCCTCCCTTTCTTTCCTTCTTGTTTTCTGACTTCTTTCTCCTCTTTTCTCTTCTCTCTCTCTCCTCCTCTCCCCACCCCTGGGCTCCCCCACCTCCCCCTGGGGCTGACGAGGTCCCTGCCCAGCACCTCCGCTCCGTCGGCCCCCATGATGCCACGCACCAGAGCCGTGCCCGGGCCCAGCCCCCGCTGATGCACCATCCTGATCCCAGCCCGTCTTTCCCCCAGGGCGAACCAGCTAGCCATGCCGCCTGCATCCATCAAAGTCTAAGGCGGTGAGTGCTCTGGGAGGGAAGGGCTGGGCTACTGGGGGCCTGAAGTTACTGACAGCTGTGAAAGCTGGAGCAGCCTCTTCCCGTAACCCTGCGGCCCCTCCTCCCTCCAAGGTCAGGGCTGCCCTAGCCAGGAACTCCCAGTTGTTTGGACTCTGTCCTCCCAAGTCCTCTTGAAGGCGCCAAGGGCCCACACCTACTTGGCTGTCCTTGGAGCCTGGGGGTGTCTAGCTTTCCAGTAAGGGTTAGGGAAGAGTGGCCCTGAACTGCCTCCTCTAACCTGCACCCCTTTCCCCAGGTGCTGCTGGGACCATGAGGACCCCACACTCCTACCTGCCCTGGGAGGACCTGCTGGGCTTTCCCAGGGCCTCCTGCGGGCCCCATGGCAAGGGTCCCGCCCTGTTCGGCTGCGGACTGCCGAGTGGCCCTGGCTGCAAGAGCTCTCAGTTAACCAGGATGGTTATGTGTGCTGGAGCCACACAGCCGGACGGACTGCTGGCTTTGGGTCTGGGTCCCAGAGCCCCTGGAGCCAAAGATGGCTTTCAGTGGGATCTTCAGGAGAGGCTGGCCTGCTGCCAGCCTCGGGCAAGTCCCTGCCCTCCCCAGAGCGTGGGGCCAGGGGACTGGACTTCCCCATACAGATCGCTGGCCAAGGGACTCTATGCAGATGGGAAGACACACAGGACCATGGAGCACACGGGGAAGGGTTGAGGGCCCAGGACCCAGGGTGGAGGTTCAGCTGCTGAGGCCTCCCTACCCTGGTGCAGGAAGCTGGACGCTCAGCAGGCAAATGGAGCTAGTATTAGTCAGTTGTCTCAGCTTCCCTGGCCAGCTCTCAGCCTACAGGGTAGGTGAAGCCCCAGTGTCAGCTATATACCACCCAGACCCCAGGTGAGAGCAGTACCCCCTGCCTGGCCCATGGCCTCAATAGCACCTTCCCTGTGCCCCCAACAACTCGATGCCAGGAGCCCACCGCTTCCCCTAGGCTGAGCCAAACTTTTCCCAAGGGCAGGGCCGAGGGGACCATTGCTAGAATGGTCAGGACTCTGGCTGTGGGAGGAAGTGGCTCTCTCTCCAGCTTCCTGCCAGAGAATGTGCTTCATGGAGGCCCACGTGGAAGGGCCAACACCCCCAGCCACCTCCACCCAATCGCCGGCTGCTGTAGCTGCTGCTGCACATGGACACACCCCACGACTTCCCCAGCTAGCAGACGCTGCGGGCCAGGCCTTCACCTCGCTCCCATCTGCACCCACCCAGACCCTTAGGCCGCAGAGCCACGTACCAGGGTGCAGCTGCCAAGCTCTCACCAGCCCCCCGCTCTACACTTTTGCTGCCGCAAGGTGGTTCTGGTCTAGGGGTGCCCTTGTGGCCACAAGACCCCCAACAACTGGCTTGGACAGTGCTCTTTGCCCCTTAGCAACTGGCCAGCTGTGACTTCAGTGGTGTGCAAGCTAGTGCCCACCCCCTTCCCATCCTCCACCTTGCCATGCTCTGGGGTGCCCTGGGGGCCTGACAAGCAGGTAGGGGTCGGGTGGTGGCCCCCACCTCTGCCTTGGCCTTGGCTGGGGCCCCAGCGATGTTTTCTTGTTGTACAAGAACCAGGTCCAAGTGTTGCCTCCTCTTCCTTCCGGAAGCCAAACTGCTCCTTTATTTTTTAGAGCTGCTCATTGTGAATCTCAGAGTCTTAAGAGAAGCCAAATATATTCCTCGTCAATGGAGAAATAAACTTATTTAAATCAAGCCTATAGCTCGCGTGGCACAGCAGCTGGGGAGCCACCATGCCCTGCACTACCCGGCTGCCAACAAACCCTCACCAGGCAAAGCCGGCTGGGGCCACAGACTGCGGCCTGTTTATTAAAATTACAGTGAAAAAATAGGTGTCTCTGGGGTGGGTGGTGTCTGCGCTTGGGGCACTCAGGCTTTCACCTTCTTCTTCTTGGCCCCAAACTGGAACAGGAGGGGGCCCCTGGTGGCCAACGACAGCCTGGCCTTCTTCCGTGGCAGGGGCGACAGGGGAGACTTGCCTAAGACCCTCTTCTTGGGAAGGGGCTTCAGATGTGGCTTCTCAGCTACAGGCTCTGCCAGGGAGGTGGGGATGGCTTCGCTGACCTGGGCTGCTTTTGGGGTTTGCTGCTTCTGCTGTTTTGGTGTCTTAGCAGGGCTGTCACTGGGGACCGGACTCTTGGCAGGAGGTGTGCCGTTGACCTGGGCCTGAGCTGGGAGCTTGGCCTTCACCTTCTTCCTCTTCTTGCCCGTGCTGGGGGGCAGGTCTGCGGCAGTGGCTGCAGGCGAGGGTGCCTCCTGGGCCATGTCCTCAGCCTTGCGTTTCTTTCGCTTCTTGGTCTCCGGCAGGAATCCCTTTTTCTTCTGCTTCATGCTGATGGGACTCTGGGGGATGCTGGGGACTTTCTTGGTGTCCTCCTTCTCCAGCTTGGGGCGCCTGGGGGAAATGAGCAAGGTTAGGGAGCATCCACCCAGGAAGGAGTCATTGCTCCCTAATGCTGTGGGAGGCAGCCAGCCCCAAAGCTCCCACGCCAGCACACATGGCAACAGGAGGGTCCTAGTGTGGGGACTTACTGAGCTCCCAGGTACTTCATGGCCTGCCAGTACAGGTCTTGGAGACGGCTGGAGGTGTTTGCGTGCTCCCCCTGCTGCAAATTCTCAGTCATTTTCTGCTGCTGGCTCTGCAGCACGCCCAGGAGCCCGGTGAGGTCCACGGTCAGCTTCTGCAGAGGCAAGAAATGGGGATGGAGCTGTAACAACAAGGACATACGGCCTTCCCCTGGAACTTAGGCTCCTCAGCTGTTGCTTCTGCAAAGTCTGCTTCTTTTTCAACTTGGGGAGCAAAGAAGAATCTTCTGTTAGCCTCCCCTTTGGTGGTGGCCCTGGTCTGCCACACTATGAGGGCATCAAACTTTGGGGGATACCTGAGCCCCTACACACATGGCACAGGCTTTTTCTGAGATGGTAACTTCTAGGACCCTACTTCCCAGCCCTGCCAGCACCTGGCCAAGCACTTGGGCTTTGGCCTCACTCCTGCAACCATCTCACCCCCACAGGCCCCAGTTCAGCTCCAGCCTCCCCTTCCACAGACTCTCAACTCCATACACCTCCTGCTCTGGCCTTGCCCCACCAAGTTATCAGGAACAGTCAGCTGGCCTGGGTTCACCTTGTTGCTGATGGTCCGGAGGATACTATTCAGCAGTTCCAAGGATGATGCCTCCCTCTGGTGCTCTGGCTTGGTCTGTGGCGTCCCCAGGGCCTGCAGGTTCTGAAGAGAATGGGGTCACTTTCTGGCACCCCAACTCTGAGAGCGAAAGATGACAGCCAAAGGGAGCAGTGTCCCCGGGAACAAGCCCACAGCTCCCTGCAGAGGCCTAGGGCCGCAGAGACCCTTCCTCTGCCTGGCCATTACCTTGGCAGCCTGTGCCATCACGCCACTTATCAGCTGCTCCCACTCTGCGTCCTCAAAGCACACCTTCAGCTCTGAGATGCACAGGCTCTTCTGCAGTAGTTGGCAGGCCTGGACCTGTGGCAGGGACAACACTATCACTGGAGTCTGAGGTACCTGATAAGGTCCTGGTGTCCCAGGCAGTCTACAAGGAACTGCGGCTGTGTGTTGCTGGATGGGTCAGGGGAACTAGGCCTGAGGTGGAACCTTGGGCCTAGGGCAGATGGGAAGTGGGAGATTCAGTCAGGCCCCAGGTGGAGCGAAGGGGCCTGCCAGGTGTCCCTTACCTGGTTGTGGGGCCGTGTTGGACCTGCTATGTGCTGCACCATGATGGGGACCAGGTTCTTGCAGATCATCTGGGGAACGACAGGAGCTGTGAGGTGGGGCGTGGGCTGGGCAAGGGAGCACATGGGTGGGTTTCCTAGGTGGTAGGGACACTCACTGGATGGCGTGAGAAGAGACAGAGGAACATGGGGATGGTGAGTGGGCTGTTGCGCTTGGTCAGAAAGGAGCTCAGTGCAGCTGAGTAGGCTGAGGTGACGCGCATCAAGTCCAAGCAGCTGGTGATCTGGATCCAGGGAGAGGGGGTAAGAGTCCAAGAACAGCCCAGGCCCAGGGAGAACAGGGTAAGACTGAGTACAGCCCAGGCCTAGCCTGCTCCGGGGCCCCTCCCACCCACCTGTGGGTCCTTGGAGCTGCTCTCAGGGACGGCCTTTTGCTTCTTCTGCCTCTTCTTTGGCACGCTCTTTGGGGCAGGGTTCATCTTTAGCACCCGGAGCAGGTAGAGGGAGGCATTGAAGTAGTAGAAGGCAATGGAGGAATCAGTCTGGCGGCTGGCCTGCTGCACCAGCTGCTCCAGCTGTGCATGCACAGCATCTGCACGGGCACCCACGCCCTGGCAGCATTGCCGGGTCCGGAACAGGTTCTCACTGTGGGAGGAAGGCAGAGTTGATCACCACACACCCACCCTGCCCAGCAGAGACAACCAGAAGAGGGTCCTCCAGTCCCATGTCACAGAAAAGAAACCCAGAGTGAAGATGGGATTTGGTCCAGGCTGCAGAGGTTTGGGGTAAAAGTCCTGTGCTGTCTCTCACCACATGCCAGAAACCCCAACTTGGCCCATATCCCCATCTGCACTCCTCTCCTGGGGCCAGTGTGCTAAGGACTCTGCATGATGTGCAAGGCTGGGGACATGGTGGGGACTGCAGGAGGGACACTTGCACACGTGTGACCTGGGGTCAGCATGGACTGTAGGGGGGCACGCTGGTAGCCACCCTCTGTTCCCTGGGGCCCTCTGGCTTCTTCATACAGAAGATCCATGATCTAGCACTGATGCCAGCAGCCGCCTCTGGCCTATGGCACAGCCCTCCCCAGGCCAGAATGCCTGCTGAAAGCCCTTCTGTGGCCCCTGGCACCTCTGCTGCCCTAGGATGCTGTTTCGCCCACCCTGTGTGCTCCCACTGCCCCCAGGGCTCCTCACGGCAGTCACATGATAGCTGGTGAGGGCCCAGCTGACACTAAGTGTTGGGGCTATGGATCAAACCTGGGAGCCCCAGCAGGCCCACTTGCCCCGGCATGCTCACGTTAAGATGCGGGCTGTCTTGTGCAGCAGGTCGCGTTCCTGCTTGCTGCCACCGCTGCTGCGCCGGATGATACTCAGCAGTGGCTCGATGAGCTCCAGGATCAGGGCGTTCTTGGGATGCTTGCTCACCAGCACCTCAATCAGATCCAGCACCTGCAGCCGGCAGCAGGGTCAGCCCAAGTCCAGCCTGGGGCAGGGGGTAAGGGGCTGGGGGGTGGGCAGCTGCTCACGCGAATCTGGAAGTCCCACCGCAGCGCCTTCTCCTTCTGTAGCTTCATCTTTTCGTCCTGCCGTGCCTGGATGCGCAGCTTCTGCTCAGCGAAGAGACTGGCAAGGTTCTTGTCCAGCGCCATCATGGCCTCATCATCCAGCTCCTCCCCGTCGTCCTCACTGTCCCCTTCACCCTGAGGGGCAGAGTCATCAGCTTGGACTCAGAGGCCAGCGGGCAGATGCCCACCCACTTCCTGTCCCCTGCCCGGCCCCAGCTCACCAGTGCCTTCCCGGCCCGCAGCACCTCCATCAGCTGCTCACGGAAACCTGGGTCCACATCCTTGTCGCGTTCTTCCTCACTCTCCTCATCTTCCTCCTCCTCACCCTCGCTATCAGAGTTCTTGTTCTCATCATCCTTGTCTTTGCCCTGCAGGGGCCAGGGCCACAGTGTCACCCTCTCCACTGCCCTGGGCCTCCCACACATCCCCGCCCCCATGGGGATCTCTGCATTCCTCACTTGCTCCTCAGCAGCATCATCGGTCACCACCACGTTGTCTTCTGCATCCTGGCTGCTCTCAGGGTTCACCACCTAGGATGAGTCCCGGGACGCTGTCATGGCCCGACACCCTCAAAGCACTGTGTCTCTTGGGCCCCCTGATAAGCTCCACCCAGGAGATACCCCACGACAGATGGGCACGGCAGCACAGAACACTTCTGGTCAGGGGGTTGCATTTCCCAAGGGCCTCAACTTACAACCAGGATCAACTCCAGGGCCCGGTGGGTCAGGTGGGAGCAGATATGGCCAAACACGTTGCGGGCGACCCGGCGCATCAGGTGGCTGGGCTTCGACAGCAGAGTTAGCAGGATTTCCACCATCACCTCCACCCATGGAGGCTCCTCAGAGTCTGCAGGTGGGGAGAGCGCTGAGCTGGGACAGGCCCTGCCTTACCCCAGGTCCCTTTAGTACTTTTAGAGTCCTCCCCCACCTCCCCCGTCTCTTAGCCCAAGAGCTGTGACCCACTGGTGGCCTTGGCTCGGGGTTGCTGGGCTGTCTCCTCCATGCTCTTCTTGATGCAGGCCTGGATGTCCCCAAGGAGATCACAGCTCTCTGCAGGGCTCTGTGAGCAAGGCAGGATGGTCAGCGGCACGGGGAAGACACCTGGCCCCCACTGAGTCAGGTGAGGGGGTGTCAGCAGGGGTCCCCAAGCAAGCACTCTCCCACACCTCTGCTATTGTGAGGGGACCCGCAGGAACTCAGTAATCACAGCTGCCTGACACCCAGACAGGCACAGCTGGCAAGGGCCACCAGAAAGAGCACAGGCCCCCAGGCTCCTAACCCTAGGTCGTGCCCGAATACCTGGCTGGACATTACATACAACTGTGCACTGGCTACTGACTTAAGCCTGCCTCATCAGGACGGCCAAGGTGATAGGCACAAGACTGTCCACCCGCCCCGAAGGCAGGCCTTTATGACTCAGTGGGTAGCTCCAACACTTACACCAGGGATCAGGAAGCCCAGGACCTGGCCACAGCCTCCACCCCCAAGGCTGGGTGCTTAGTCAGGGCCCGGTCCTCTGAGCTGCCCCCTCAGGCTATGGGTGTAACAGTCTCCTCTCCCCCAGGTCAGTGAGGGGATCTACGCCCATCCTAGGGGCACGGTGGCTGGACTTCACCCACACGATGGGCACTAAGGCTGGCCTCTTAGTGCCCAGTCTAGAAGCTAAAACCACAGCCCAGCAGCAACCAGGAAGCCAGGGTGCTAAAGACCTGACTGAAGTGACCATGGGAAATGCCTCGGGTGACCCGAGGGAAACATCTGGGCTCCAAGTCAAGAAGCAATCACGGGGGTCAGAGATGCTGCCAGCACTGAACATGCAACATGGAGGAAAGGGCCTCAGGGACTTGTGAGAAGGGGATGGAGTTCCAGCACACGATACAGTGAGGGTCATATGCCCCTGTGAGGCAACACTCCAGCTCAGTGTGGCTGAGAGGAACACACAAGATAGGACTGCAGGGGCCAGCATTGACGGGTGAGGCCAGAATCCCAAATCACAGCAGTCCTGGCTGGCTCAGGTGCTTGGGCCCCTGCACCCACAGGGCAGACCTAGGTGGAGCTCCACGTTCCTGGCTTTGGCCTGGTCACTGTGGCCATTCAGGGAGTGAACTAGCAGCTGGAAGGTCTTTCTTTCCCTCCTCTGTCTCTCTTTCAAATAAATAACTTTAGACTAAAAATAAACACAATAACCAAAGCCCAGGACCTCATTTCTTACTGGTAGGGGATGGGGCCTCCCTCCCATCTGTTCCCTCACACCACCAGCTTGATCAGCAAGGTACACCTATGAAACTATGTGGAAGGGCTCAGCCAATGGAGGATTTTTACCTGGGCTCTGGCTCAACCCAGGATGGGATCCCTAGGAGACTGCCCCACTTTAACTCCCTCAGCCCCATCTCGTGTCACTCAGGCAGCTCCAGGCTTTCAAGGCCTCACACAACATGTGGCTCACAGCCCCTCCCTCCCTTCCAAGCCACCATACCTTGAAGAGGTTGATGCCTACAAGGAGCAGCAGGTGATGGAAGGCAGTGGCCTTGGCCTCTGAGGAACGGGCCTCCAGCTCCTTCAGGGTCTGCAGCATCCTTGGGGATGAGGAAAAAAAAGGGCATGGCCTCAAGCCACTCTGCCAGTCACACGCAGGTGTCCTGCCCGCCCCATGGGCATCCCAGTCTCTCACTGGTCCCAGGCCTCGCGCTGCTGCGTTGTGAAGGGCGTCACAGGGGTCACGTTGCGGTTTTGGTTCAACAGTGTGTTGGCCAACTGTAACAGGCGGTGGGTCCAGAGCTGCCCGCCCAGAGCTTGGGCTGCTGCCTCCCGGACAGGCGAACTGAGGGCCTGCAGCAAGCTGCACAAGCAGTGGAGTGAGATCACAGGGCTTGGCTGGGCAAGTCACCTCCTTCCCCACCGCAGGGCTTACACTGGGACTGCTGGGCCCCTCTGCTGTGGCTCCTACTAATAGGGTGGGGTCAAAACCATCCCCACTCCTAACCAATGCTCACCTGAAGAAGCCATCGCTTATGATCTCTCGGTCCCGGGCCTCCAAGGGCACGGAGAACTGATGCTTTGTTTCAGGGATCTGAGCTACGGGCTTCTTTGTTTTAAAGAATGAGTGGAATAAGCAAAACCTGGGCCGGAAGGAGAGCAAAATGTGTTATCTTAGCACAGCCATGTTTATTTTCATGTCTATTCGAAATACAAAAGATAAAGAGACATCTTCCATGTGCTGGCTCATCCTCCAAATGGCCACAACAGCCAGGCTTGGGCCAAGCTGGAGCCAGGAGCCTCATCCAAGTTTCCTACTTGAGTGGCAGAGAATGCTGTGGCAGGAAACCGGATCAGAAACAGAGTACCTAAGACAACAGCCTCTGATACAGGCTACGGCATTCCTGTGGGTCACTGAGCCATTGTGTCCCACCAAGCGTGTATCCCCCAACCCTGGGGAAGGCAGCCCCATGGCAGTAAGCATCCTGCCTGGGGCACAGTCCAAACCAGCAAGAGGCCAAGGCCCCTGAGCACAACTCTCACCTGGCCAACTGGTTGATCATGGCCTCATCCTTCTCCTGGACCATGTGGTCTATCATGCTGACCAAACGATGGATGATCCACTTCCGCAGCCGGAACACGGCTCGTCCAGGCCTGGAGGGGGGTGGGAGTTGACAGTCAAGGTTTCAGGAAATGTGTGGAGATGGCATAAAATGGGGCACCACTTGGCCTCACTGTGAGAGGTAACCAAGGCCCCCCTGCCCTGATCACCAGCCCGTGAGGACCTCAAGGCTGCCTTTGAAAGCTGAGGCACCTCCTCTCTTCCGTGGTCCTGAGCCCCGGGCACCCCTGTGGGCCCACTCACATGGAGGGTGTAGCTTTCCAGGCTTTCTTCTGGACGCCGGTGCTGAAGTCAACCAAGGAGTCCAGCTTGGGCTGGATAAACATCTCCTGCAACCAGGCCACGTAGCCCTGCAGAGCCCGAGGGCTCAGGAACCTCGTGACGTGCCAGAAGGTGGGAATGGCAGGGAGGCCCTGGTTGGTGATGGATGTGAGATCCACTAGCACAGCAAGCTGCTTCTCGGGGTCATCCCGACTTCCCTCCAGGAAGGTGACCACCAACTTGGTCAGCTCAGGAAGAAACTTGAACTTGTTCTGGACCTGAAAGAGTCAGGTATGGGGGGCAGGGGAGATGGAGACCCAACCCAAACAGCCTCTTCCACTATAGGCTAAACCAGATCCGAGGCCTTTATATACTGGCCCAGAGCCGGGACTCCACAACTTCACCACTTCCGTCGGCAGTCAAGGCCTCCTAAAGCCTGACCTGTGCCCCACCCCCACCTAGCTTCTGTAGGTGGGATCAGCTGCTTTTCTGGTGATGTAGGACAGAGGAGGGAGGGTTAAGAATCAAGACTATACTGGGCCCACCCTCCTACACTGGCTTGTTGTCTGTGACTCTTGGTCCAGACAACTGGCCCAACTCCCAGTCAGTGGGCAGGTGCAGCAGCCCCCTGGGATGGGCCACTTGGGTTTGAGTTTTATACACAAGGACAATGAAACACAGAAAAGCCTGAACATAGCTTCTCAGAGTCATGGGATCATGCAAGGTGCGGACATGGGCTACCTTTTCCATGCTTGCCCATAGCTGTGGCTCTGTTTGTGTGAATCTGGCTCCACACCCAGGAAGCCAGGACTCTCAAGAGGTGAGGGGCTGCTGGCAGTTCATTTCACCCAGAGGGCAGTGACCCTAGGTCCCAGGCCCCTACCTGGCCGAAGCCTCCGAGGGCCCTGCTTCAACCACACAGGAGTGTACCCACCTGTGACGTGACCATATGTTCCCCCAGAAGCCGAGCCAGGTCTCCCCGCAACACCAGCTGCAGCTGCTCCTTGGACAGCAGGGGCAAGGCTGTGCCCAGCAAGTAGAAGCACATATAGCTAAGGGAAGATGCAGAACACAGCCTGGTCAGAACCCTGGCTGGACCCTAGGAAGATGCCCACTCATCCGAATTCCTCTCCTCCCCGCTCCCCTGGCAGAGAAACCCAGGGATACACGCACTTGACTGGCCACAGCTGTTTCTGCAGCAGCCCCTGTTCCACGACCTGCTTCCAGAACTGAGGGAACTTGTCCTCCTCCAGCGCCAGCCGCAGCATGCCCAGGGCCACAGGCGGCAGCTTCTGCTCCTTTTTCACGCTGGCAGCGGCCCGCCGCAGCACTTCCACCAGCCTGCAGCGGGCAGAGGGCAGGCATGGCTCAGGGCCTGACACGCAGGACACCCCAAGGGGGTGTGGCATATATGTCTAAGGGGGTAAGTGCTCCACCTGCTCCCCCATACCTGGGGAGATTCTCATCAGAGAAGAGGTTGACCGAACCCATCGCCTTCTGCAGCTTGGCTGGCGCCTTCTTCCGGGCCAAGAGGAATAGTTCCAGGTGCTCGGGCGAGCTGAGTATCACATCCAGGTCGGTGCTGAGCACCTTGGGCAGCAGCCCTTGCCACAAATTGTCTGGCACCTGTGAGCAAGAGGACCCCAGCGCCCCCAGCGGCCTCAGTCTCCTTGCAGCTGTGCTCTGCTCCCCAGGTCTGGCCACTGGCACACAACCCATCAGAGCGGGGGATGGCCACTGGCTACCCCGCTGGCCTCAGGCGTTCCAGCTCCCAGAATCTGGGCTTGTAACAGACACCCTGATGCTACCTGCCCTGTGAACCCTCCTTGAGCCATTTCTGACATACAGCTTCCAGACCTGTTTCCTGGGTAGGGCAGGGATGAACCACAAGGGGCCCTGCATTGAGCAGAACAATGGCAAACCTTTGTATTGCCTGGCTACACCCAGGGCTCTGTTTCAGACCTGTGCTGCACAGGAAGCAAGCCCCCGCAATAACAGAGCATAATGGCTGGGCAGTCTTGCCTAATGGTTAAACCTTGCTAGTCTATGCTGGGGTTTTAGGGTCTGATGGCTCAGGTGATGGGGCCCCTAAAACCCACATGAAGCCACCGGAATGGAGTGCCTGGCTCCCCACCTAGTCCCAGCCGCTGTTGCAGACAACTAGGGGCTGCATCAGAGGAAAAGAACTCTACTTAAAAACAAACCAAACACTAAACTAACCTGTAACGAAAGTGCTTTAAAAGCATGAAACACACCAAGTTTCACAACTTAATGACAAAAAGAGTGGAAAAAAATTTCAACTTTTCACATAGGCCAGAAGCTTCAATGAGCTTTAGACAATGTTATCAACCTACACCAATTACTTTCTAGGCTTCTCAACAGAGTAACTAAAAGATTACAGTCTGTATAATCTTTATACCTGGGACTTCAGACAGCTCGCAGAAAATGGGATTAAAAGGTGAGTTTATGGGCCCAGCTCCAATTCTAATCCCTGTTTTCCATCCAGCTCCCTGCTTGTGGCCTGGGAGAGTTGAGGATGGCCCAAAGCCTTGGGACCGTGCACCTGCCTAGCAGACCCGGAAAGAAGCTGCTGGCTCCTGGCTGGCTCAGCTCTGGTCATTGTGGCCCCTTGGGGAGTGAATCAGAGGATGGGAGATCTTCCTTTCTTGTCTCTCCTCTCTGTATATCTGACTTTCCAATAAAAAACAAATTAAAAAAAAAAAAATTTAATTTTTTGATGCAAAATTTTAAAAAATCCATACATGTGAATATGTGAGGGGTTAAAAGTTCACAGAAATATGTAATCAGAAAACTACACATAATTACATTTTTACATTAATTTTCATCTTATCTTCCTTGAACTAATTTTTAATGGTTTATTTACTTACTTCAAAGAAGAATTAGGGAGGTTTTCCATCCAATGGTTCCCTCTGCAAAGGCTGGGGCTAGGCCAGTATGAAGCCAGGAACTTCATCTGGGTCACCCATGTCAACAGCAGAGGCCCAAGCAGCTGGGCTGCCCTCCACTGCTTTTACTAGGTCATCAGAAGGGAGCGTCACAGCCGGGACTTTAACTGGCATCTGTATCAGATGCCGGCGTCACAGGCAGCAGGGTAACGTGCTGCGCTACTGTCAGCTTGCAAACTTTTCTTTTCTAAAAAGCAGAGATTTCCTACAGCTGGTTCACTCTCCAGCCAGGGCTGGGTCAGGCAGGAGCCAGGCACTTGGCAGCATTTCTGGGCACAGTAGCAGGAATCAGACATGAAGAGGAGCAGCTGGGACTGGCGCCAGGCCTCTGATGTGGGACAATGGCATCGCCAGTGGTGGTTAAATCCATGCTGCCATACCACCAGCCCCCTACCTGAAAACCTCCCTAACAGCCCCTCACGCTCCTACAATAAGAGTGCAGAGAAGCCGTACCTCAGACAGGATGTCCACCAGGGCCCTCCGGGGCTGCTCCTGCAGGTGGTTGTGGTGCTGGGCCAGGGCCTGCAGCAGCTTCACGCACTCCAGCAGCGCCTCCAAGTCCTGAAACCCGCAGAGAATGTGTATGAGTGGGACCCACTGGCTCCCGGAACCTACCACTCCCACAGTGGACCCCCAGAGTTCTCACCTTCACCAGCCGGCCTGACTGGAAGAGGGCGAGCACCCCAAACAGGTTTCCAAAGAGACTGGATCTCATTGTGGCCTGCAAAAAGGATTTAAGGCACAAGTGAGCCAGGCCCATCCCTGCGTCCTGGTGTGTGGAGCCCCTCCTACCCACCCTCACCCCCGGCTGTGTCGCTCACCTTGGTCAAGGAATCCAGCTTGTATTTCTCTTGGATCTGCTGCAGGATGCTTAACAAGGGGATGTCTTCAAAAGACTGTAAGAGCTAGAGAGAGAACGCGGGGCTCGGGGAGTGGCCCTGTCACACACACCAACCTTCTGGGTTCCCTACCCTCACCCCAAAATCCTCCCTGAAGCCCCTCACACGCCCCAGACCCCTGCCTCTCCACCTTTGACAACAGCTACCCCGGCTTCTAGACTTCTCCCCGCCTACTCCCGAAAGGAGAATCCCATTCAAGTTCCTCCCAGCATCCCGGGCGCATCCCATCAGCTCAGCGTCCCCGGCGCATCCCAAACCCCATCACTCCCAGCAAGTGAGCCCCCCCCCCCCGCCCCGCCGACCCCCGCATCCCCCAGGCCTGCCAATGCACGGACCATGTCGGGATCTGGCTGCAGCCCCACTGTGCCCACCCCACTGTGCAGGCAGGCCCCGCTCCCAGCTGCCCCCTCACCTGGGCCAGGGCCAGGCTGTAGCACGGCCGAGCATGTTCGCGCATCATCCCGAGCCCAGTGATGAGGCGCTTCAGGGCGTACTTCATTTCCGACCCCTGTGAAGGCAGAGCCGTGGCCAGCGGTCAGCGGCGACGAGTCCGCCTGCCCTGGCTACCACGTGCATCCCCCGCGCAGCCCCGTCCCACACCAGCCATACCTCCGGCCTGGCCCGTAGGTATTCCAGCAACTTCTCCGTGGCCTCCAGCCGCGTCTGCTGCTCCATCTTGGCGATGTCCCAAAACAAGTCCAGGAACTCGCGGCTGTGCTCCAGCAGGCCGCGGCGGTCGGCCTCCGTCACCTCCTCCCAAGACATGCGATCGGCGAGCTCCTGTTCCTCCATCTCCGCCATGATCTCGGAACACGTGTGCTCGACCGACAGACGGCAGCTTCCAGGTCAAGCCGCCGCGCATGCGCGCTGGGGCACCCGCGGAAGAGGCGGGGCCTGGGCGGGGGTCAGGGCGCCTCCTGGTCGTGTCCAGGGCGTGGCCTGGGGGACCTGGGAGGAGCCTTGGAGCGGTCTGGGTGGGGCTTGAGGACTTGAGCGGAACCTGGGTGGCCTGGGCGGGGCCTGGGCGGGCGGTTCTTCCGCCCTTCCCTCTTTTGGCTCTTCCGCCCTCAATAGCCTGGCCAAGCCGACTCCTTTCCCGTTCCCTGATCCGATCCGGCTGTTTCGCCCTGTCGCGTCTCGCTCGCAGCCTCTTCACGTCTCCTTGGACAGGTTTCTGAAAACCCTGACCCTCGCGGGGTCCCATGGGGGCCCCGGGATTACAAACTTGGAACCCCTCGTTATGGATGCCATAATTCCTGACTCCTATGGGCGCTAGATGGGGCCTTGGAAATAGGGCCCCTGCTGAGGAAATAGACAAAGATATATAATATATATTTATGTATATAATAATATTTTATAGATTTTTTATAGTTATATATTTATATAATATGCGTTTATATATTATATATTTATGTAATATTTATGTATAAATATATTTTTTAGAGAAATATATTTTTAAAAAGACAATTAGGGAGAAATAAAGAAGGAATTCAGGGGGCCTGGGGAAACGCGGAAAGCACATCACTTTTTAATATTTCTGGTCACAGGTTTGAGTCCTGACTGCTCCACTTCCCATCCAGCTCCCTACTGTGGCCTGGGAAAGCAGTCGAGGATGACCCAAAACCTTGGGACCCTGGCTCCTGGCTCTGGGTCAGCCATTTGGGGGCATGAACCAAAGAATGCAAGACCTCTGGGTATAACTCTGCCTTTCAAACCTCTCCCCCGCCCCCCCTTTTTTTTTTTTAATAAAGAAGGTTTATTTATTTGTATTGGAAAGCAGATTTTAGAGAGAAGGAGAGACAAAGAAAGATCTTCCATCTGCTGGTTCACTCCCCAATGGCTACAATGGCCAGAGCTGAGCTGATCCTCTCCCTTGTGTTGGAGTTGGGCTGTCCTCCTCTGCTTTCCCAGGCCACAAGCAGGCAGCTGGATGGGAAGCGGAGCAGCCAGGATTTGAACCAGCGCCCACATGAGATGCCAGCACTTACAAGGTCGAGGATTAGCCAGTTGAGCCATCACACTCGTCCCTGGGGAGGGGAGGGGATGGGTAAACTTTTGAAAGAGATTCAAGTAAATAAAAAATATTTGCAGTTACTGGTTTGAGGGGGTGTCCACCTCTACAAGGAGGTGAAGTTTGGCCTGAGAGCTGAGGGATAAGGACTGCAGGTACCCTAGGGCTGAGATCTAAGAGAGGCCTCGCTGACATCTTGGATGGAAGCTACACAGCTAAAGTAGACTCCAGCACTGGAGGGGATGAGCTGGCCAGGGGTCTCAGCAGCAAGACCCTGCAGGGCCCAGAATGGGATGTCTTTCCTCGTGTGACAGGAGGTCTCCATAGTGTCTTGGGCAGGGACAAGGTTGGGTCAGATTTGTGTTTCTGAAATGATTCTGGCTGGTCAGTGAGGAACGCAGGATGATCCACGGCAGGAGACGACGGTGGATGGTTTCAAGGCCATAGGACCGCAGGCAGGTGCTGTCTGATTTAGACCTGGCCAGGATAGGCGACAGGTTATGACATTTTAAGGGAGAAGAAAAGAGAAGGAGGCCAGGTTTGGGGCTAAAGTAACTGTGTGGATTGCAGTGCCCTAGGAGAGCTTGGAAGTGATTTTCCTGGGGGTGGGGAGAGGCAGGCAGGGAAAGAGAAGTCTGGAACTTCAAAGCTGCCGCAACCATGGGTGGGTAAGGAAGTTGCTGTTGGCCATGGCCTTGGACCAAGAAGCCCTCTGCAGAACACTGTGTCAGGAGAGACCCCTCGCCAGCTCCAGGCCCATGTGCCCTGAACGCAGGGCACCTGCTCCTCAGCCCTCCTCAGTGGCTGCCTGGCTCTGCTGTCTTCTCAAGTGAAAGTGAGAGATGTACTTTGCAAAGACAGGGCTGGCAGGCAGCCAGCTGAGCTGGGTGGAAGCAGAAAGACCCTGGGGTATGCTGTGTCCCCCCCCCCCCCAGGGGACTGGTCACTTGTGTTGGTGGGAAATGAACCAAGAGGCACCCAGGAAAGGATCTGGAATCCAAGGAGACCCACCCTTTATTTTATTTGCAGTCTGGTTGAGGGAGAGTGACTAAGGGTGGCTTGGAGGGGAGGAGGAGTGCTAGCAGGGCACAAGCTCTGCCTTGCCCTGCTCCCCAGAGCCCAGAGCCCAGGCTGGGGGCTGGGTCATCCTCCCCTGGCTTGTCTGTCTTGTATCTAAGATGTCAGCCCGAGGCCGTCTACTCTCTCCTCATTGTCTTCAGGCCCCTGGGCTGATATAAGAGCCAGCAATTGCACACGGCTGTGGGAGAGCTTTGAAGAATGCTTGTGCAAGCCCTGGATGCCGGAATTGGAGCATAGGCCACTGACTGGGTCAGATGTGAACGCATGACTGATACGCACTGTTTATGCACTTGCACTTGTCCTGCCGGCTCCTGCTTCCATGCTTGGAGACAGCAAGTCTGTTCCCTGCCAGACGCTGTCCCTGCGCGCGCCCCCCCTTAGAGCCCCTGGAAGGGACAGCAGCCTTTGGGGACACTGGAGACATGAGCGTGCTCTGCATAGGCAGCAACCTGGAGCAGGGTCCCTTGGCCACAAGTCCTGGGGCTCCCTGCTGGCCCCTGCTGCTGCTGGGTTTGCGTCCCTGCCAGGTAGCCGAACAAAGCGTGAGTCATGGCTTTGGCCATCTGTGGGGTCCCTGAAGCCACCAGTCCCAACACATCGGCCTCTGTGTCACCGGGGCTACCACGGAGTATGAGGGGGCAGGCCCAGGTGCTGGGCGTAGCTCCTGCCCCCAGGTTGCTGAGCAGAACCCCCGTGCTCTGCGACAGGTGTCCGGAGCCGAAGGAGCCATTGAGGGAGGAGGTGAGGAGGAGCACAGAGCCGCTGCTGTCCACGGTGGCCAGGACGCTGCTGCCAGGGGACCCGGCAGTTGGCAGGAGTGATGGGCAGGGGTCAGGGCTGGGTCCCTCGGAGTGTAGAGCTGCTTCTAGCTGCGTCAGCATTTCTGGGCCAGCTGAGGGGCTGGGAGTGGTAAGCAGAAGCCCCTGGGGCACGGGGAGCTGCAGGGCTGGCAACAAGGTGGGTACAGGTGTGGAAGGCACCTCCCGCCCTAGGTCTCTGGCCAACAAGCTTAGAAGGGCCTCCCCAGCGAGGTCTGGGGTGGGAGCATGCGCTGCTCTGCGGAGCACACCTGCCAACTGTGGGTTGGTGGCTCTGGCCCCAAGACCCAGGGGCGTGCCATCAGCGTGGCACAGTAGGGGACACAGGTTCCCTGTGCCCTGGGCTGCCAGAGCCTTTGCCAGAGTGGCGTCCACCGTAAAGCCCTCTTGAGCCAGCTTGGTGGGCCCCTGTAGCAAGTGTGGCCAGGACAGATAGCCAAAGCGTGCGTGCAGCAAATGCAGGGTGGGCAGGGTGGCTGGCAGCCCCAGGCCAGGGGCCAGCGCCTGGGCCGGGCCTGATGTCAGGGCTGTGGAATTGCCCGAGGAGCTGTTGTGGAAGAGGCCCCAGAACACGGCACCTGGGAGAAGACAAAGGAGTCACGAGGGCAGGGCATACCCAGGGGAAGAGTCAGGGGCTTGTCTGATCTCCAGGTCACTGACTGAGTTTGGGATTAGCAGTTACTTGTCATGTGCTAGTGTGATGGCTCAACTGGCTAATCCTCCACCTACAAGTGCTGCTGATATTCCATAAGGGTGCTGGTTCATGTCCTGCTCCACTTCCCTTCCAGCTCCCTGCCTTTAGCCTGTCTTTCTTTCTCTCTGTAAATCTGCCTTTCCAAGTCTTTTTTGTTTGTCTTAAAAAAGAAAGGGGTTACTTGTAAGGCCTGGAGTCCTGGCTCAGAGTCTATGGTCCTGCTCACACATTGGCCTTAAGATCAGGGCCATCGACCCCCCCACAGAGCCCGCCCAGGCCCTGGCAGGGTAGCTGCCAGTGTCATGTCACTTACCTAGCCCTGTGGTGTGAGGGTGTACCACTGCCAGGCACAGAGCAGCGCCCACTCCTGCATCCACGATGTTACCCCCTGCAACAAGCAGCTCTTGGCCCAAGTGGGAGCACGTGGCTGCCGTGAGCAAGGGGCTGTCACGAGAGGGGGCCCAGGCCATTAGACCCAGCCGCCCTTCCCCTCACCCCCCCCCGGGGGGCACTGACCTGCGGGGCTGATGATGGCCGCATGGTGGTAAACGCCAGAGTGGTGAGTGTGTCCCCCAGGGGGCAGGGCTGTGGGGTCCGAGTTGGAGTCATCCCTGGCTTGGAGCTGCCTAATGGCCAGGGAGCAGGCAACGACCAACAGCAAGAGCGCGGCAGCAATGCGGGCGCAGGTGCCGGGCAGCCCAGCAAACTTGTATCTGCAGAGAGGAGGGCAGTGCTGAGCCAGGGCTGAGCAGGTATGCGCCAGAGAGCTCTGACAGAAGCCAGGGAGATGTCCTCCCCCCCCCCCGCCCAGCTCTGGATGTCAGATTTTTTACAAGAAAAGCATGAAATTGCCAAGGAGGAAATGAGGGTCCTGGCCCTGGGGAGGAGGGGGGAAGAGCTTGTGCGATAACACCTGGAGAGGCAGGGTCTAGCCAGAGGTGACTTAGGCGGGAGGGAGGGGAGCAGGGCTCAGCCAGGTGTGGCACCGATCTGCCCGGCAGGTGTTCCTGGGACTGGGACCTTTGGCAGCAGACAGCACAGGGGCTGGCTTTGGTATAATGTCCATTCAGATGCAGGGGTTTTGGAGGGGCTGGCTCTGGTTGGCTCTGGGATTTGAGCCCAGGGTCCCCACACTCAACAGGAACGTCCCTGGAGTGGAGCCAAGCCCAGGGCTGCCTGGCTGTCTTGGGGGCTCCTGGGAGTTGGGGAGGCCTGCCCAACCTCTACCAGGAGGAGCCGTGACCACTCCCTGACTCACCGGGCGTAGTCCTGGGGCTGCCAGGGGTAGGGGACAAGTGGCTCTACTGTCTCTTCCTCTTCTTCCTCTTCCTCCTCCACACTGGGCTCCCAGAGCTGTAGCTTGTGGTAGAGCACAGGCTCGGTGGTGCCTTCCATGGCCTCCCTGCCGGCTCCAGCCCTCCTGCCCACCTGCCTGCCCACGGAGACTCAGGCCAGCCCCAGTGGGCGGGTCGGAGGTGTGGTGACCTTGGGAAAGGGTGGTGTTAGAATCTCAAACAGGTCTGGGCAGGACGTGGGCAGGGAGGTGGCAGGGAGGCTGGCCCATTAGGACATGAGCCTGAGGGGCTCTCACCGTGGCTTCCCGGTGTCCTAACTGTTGAGAGTTTCCATTCACTTGCTCGACTCCCCTCCTTGTTGGGGGAGCAGCCCCTGAGTCCCTGGCCTGTCCAGACTCTAACCCAGGGACTGTGGACTGAAGAGCTACAGCTCCGCAGGGGAGTCTGCTCTCTGGCTGGGCTCAAGGTCGCTCCAAGCTCCCGTAGGAGGTGGCGATTGTACTGTCCCAGGACCCACTTGCTTGGGTGGCTGCGCCAACTCCCTGGGCGGGTCCAGCGGTTGTTGTCCAGCAGGTGGCGCCATCGCCCGGAAGCGACCTTTCCCCTGGGACTGGCAACAGGGAGCTGTGTGGCTCAGTGGTGCTTGCAGTGCTTGGAACAGGCCCAGGCTGGAGGCTGCCCAGCCGCTCATTATCAGCTGTATGAGTGGCGTAAACCACACAAAGGGATACTCTGCTTACGCGAGCGAGAATGAGCCATTGACAAGGAGATGCAGGTCTGAGTGCATGTGCCACACTTCCTGGATGCCACAGAGAGCCCAGCAGCAGGAGAGGCTGCCCTCCACTAATGAGATGCAAGTGGAAGAGGCACAGGTGGTGTTGTCTGCTCATCCAGGGGTTGGCCCCTGGTGGTGTGGGTGTGTCGATAATTCATCGGACTGCACTTTTATGGCCAGGGCACTTGTCACTGCATTGTGTGTCAATAAAAATACTTGAAGAAAAGTCCAAGTGTTGTGCCTGGCGCGGTAACCTAGCAGCTAAAGTTCTTGCCTGCACCGGGATCCTGTATGGATGCCGATTTTGGTCCTGACGGCCCCATTTCTCATCCAGCTCCCTGCTTGTGGCCTGGAAAAGCAGTCGAGGATGGCCCAAAGCCTTGGGACCCTGCACCAGCATGGGAAACCTGGAGGAAACTCCTGGCTCCTGGCTTCAGATCAGCTCAGCTTCGGCCATTGGGGCCATTTGGGGAGTGAACCAGCAGATGGAAGATCTCTTTGTCTCTCCTTCTCTCTAACTCTGCCTTTCCATTAAAAATAAATAATGTAAAAGCCTTTAAAGCTGAGGCAGATCAGCTGAATCAAACCTGAGCCTCTGAACTGGAGAATCAGCTGCAGCGCTGCAGTGATTTCAGTCAAAGCACCCATCTTCTGGTTCCTCCCTCAGCCCCCAGCCCACGCCAATGCCATCAGTGTCTCTGACTATAACCCCCAGGTCCCGTAGTAGTCACAGAAGCCCCCCAGATGGTCCTGTGGGCAGCGGTGCTAATGCCATCCGAATGGCTGTTGCACGGCTCGTGCTGGGAGTGGCGGTGGAGGCAGAAACAGCCAATGGCTGGTGGCCCCTCCTTCTATGAGCATGTGCTCTGGTAGGCCTGGGGCTCCCTCCAACCCGAGGGGTCCCAGAGACAAGGAACAGTTCAGGCCAGCCACTAGGATTTCTACAGTCTGTCCTAGTTCCAGAAGGGACTCTGGCTCAGGCGGTCTGTGTGTATGACTTACCCCAGGTTCGCTGTAGTTGCACCCCCTGCCCCGCGGGTATACTGGGATTTGACTCTCATGATAGACTCGGCGACAACTTGAGGGTGGTTTTTCTTTGCAAGGTGTCTGTGTGCTATGTCCAGATTCTTTGGTTTAAACAAATTCTTTTTCAGGTAACCCCAGCTGCAGACATGATTGGAGACAGTGTTTGAGGCCTTCAGGAACAAACAGGCTGGCAGAAAAGAGAAGCCACTGCCAGCATAGAGCGGGTAGCAGATGCTGGAGCTGAGCAGCTGACTTCTGAATGCCGCCGTGGTCCTTTCGCTAGAACAGGGTCTTGGATAGAACTGGAGCTCCGTTGACTCCAGGGTAGGTATGGTGCGATTCTGAACTGATACCTGGTTACACACTTCCTGAGAGTGCAGCTGGAATCCACAGAACCTCCACGCTGCTTCTCAGAGCAGGGATGTCCCTGGTGGTGGTGGGTGTGAGCGTGTGTGGGTATTCCCTCCAGCAGTATGTGTTTATACGTGATCACAGAGGAGTTGCCAAGGCACATGCCACCTGCCAGGGACTGGGATGGCCGTGGTATGTGTCACGCAGAAGACAGATGGGACCCAGCAGGAGGTGTAGTCCAGACCGACAAGGCACATGGCAGCCACCATCCCAGGTGCCTCTCCAGTGGGGAGTCAGCTCAGCTCCCCCTCCATGTGTTTTGTTCTCTATGCCGAGGAGCAGGGGATCCAGGAGTCACTCGCTTCGGCCTGGTGGGGACAGCAGTGCTTAGAGCATCTCCCGCTGAGTTCAGGGCCATGAAAGCGCGGAGGGCAGTGGTGCTCTGACAACGGAGACGGCGGCCACACGTCCCCTCAGTGTGTCTGCTTACGCTGGGAACGGCAATCCCTTCTGCCTGACTGTGCCACACGCCAGGCTACACTTGTTTTCTGTTCCATTCTTTTGTGGGCAGCTGATGACCACATCTGTCCCCGCAGGGCAGCTTGCAGAGCGGGCAGCCGCAGAGGTAGCTGCACAGCAGAGCACACGGGGCACTGGGGCACAGGGGCAGGAACCCGGAGGACAGGGCAGGACGCCATCTGTGTGTCTTTGACCTTGCTGGCACGTGGGAAGAATCTTAGAGCTGACGGCAGAATGGAGGAAGTTCAATTCCAGTTAGAGGTCGTTGCTTGCTCAATTGCTTTTGTAACAACTCTTTATTAAAAAAAAAGAAAAGCGTATCTATCTATCTGAAAGGTGACTGACAGAGATGGAGGAATCTTCCATTCTCTGGTTTATTCCCCCAAAGGCCACAATGGCCAGCACTGGTCCAGGCTGAAGCCAGGAACCTGGAACGCCATCTGGATCTCCTGTGTGAGGGATGGAGGTCTGAGCATTGGGGCTACCTTCCCAGGGGCACTTCCCGGCAGGCAGGCAGTCAGAAGTGGGAACAGCTGGGACACAGGACGTGGGAGTGGGATACACATGGGAGATGAGGTGTCCTGCTGTGCCACAATGTTATATTTCTTTTTTTTAGCAAGATATTTGCCAATCTTTAAAAAATCTATATTTGATTTTATTTTGAAAGGCAGATCTACAGAGAGAAACAGATCTTCTGTTCCCACTGGTTCACTTCCCAAATGGCTGCAACAGTTGCAGTTGGAAGTTAGGATCCACGAGTTTCTTTGAGGTCTCTCTCCCATGTGGCTGCATGGACCCAACCATCTTCTGCTGTTTTCCCAGGCCATAAGCAGGGCGGTGGATCAGAAGTGGAGCAGCTGGGACTAGAACCAGCACTTACATGGGGTGTTGGTGTTTACAGATAGTGGGTTAATCTGTTGAGCCATGGTGCCAGCCCCTTTTGCCAATTCTTTTTAAAAAGTTTATTTATGGGCCTGGTATGGTAGTCTACTGGCTGAAGTCCTCGCCTTGCACACTCCGGGATCCCATATGGGCCCTGGATCATGTCCCTGCGCCCCACTTCCCATCCAGCTCCCTGCATGCGGCATGGGAAAGCATTGGAGGAAGGCCCAAGGCCCTGGGACCCTGTACCTATGTGGGAGACCTGGAGGAAGCTCCTGGCCCCTGGCTTCGGATAGGCTGAGCTCTGGCCATTGTGGCCACTTGGGGAGTGAATCAGAGGATGGAAGATCTTTGTCTCTCTTCCTCTCTGTATATTTGACTTTTCAATAAAAATAAATAATAAAAAGTTTATTTATTTGAAATACAAAGGGAGAGACAGAGAGGCCTTGTCTGTGCTGCCTCACCCCCTCCCACCCACACCTCCACTACAGTGTTCATAATAATCCCACTCGTACTGGGCCAGCCTGAAGCAGGAGTCTGGAATGCCAGCCGGGTCTCCTATACAATTGTCAGGGCCCAAGCGCTTAGGCAGTGATGCCTCCTCGAAGCACATTAGCATTCCGAAGCTCTAATACGGGATGAAGGCGTAGCAGCAGCGGAGGGCTAACCTGCCTGGCTGCTGTGTCCCCACGCACCTGGTCCCTGATGTTTCTGAAGCAGAAGAGACGCAACTGGGATCTCTTTCCTGCTAGCCTCAGTTCTTTATTCACGACTTCCATCCCTGTCAGAAGTGCTCTGGCTGCTATTGGGCACCGTTAAGCATTTCCCACTTGTCGCGGCTGCCTGCCCTGCTTTTCCTAATCGCAACCGCGTTTGCTGCGGGTGTTGCTTCTCTGCACTGCTCCTAGTCTGACAGGTGTAGGACTAGCGGCTGAACCAGGGAAACGTGACCACAAGGTGGCGCGAGTGCACCACCTGCTTCATTTGGGGATCCCTCAGAGCAGGCACCTTCTGGGCATAGGTGCAGCCCACACCCCAGAAAGGGAAGAAGACAAGGGGACTCCCCACGGCCAGGGTGCTGGAGGGTGAGGGAGGTCTCTCTGAGTCAAAAAGCTGCAAACGGCAGCAGGGGCTTGAGTCCTTGACATCCCCAGGCTGTCTGGGGCCTGCAGGTGGTGGGCACAGGTTGGCAAGAGATGCAGGCACAGATGCTTCAAGTGGCTAAAACCCACGCAGTCTTCCAGGAGTTTACACGGATGGAAATGCATGGTATGAGAAACTATGCGGGGCCCGGCGCGATAGCGTAGCGGTTAAAGTCCTTGCCTTGAACATACTGGGATCCCAGATGGGCGCTGGTTCTAATCCCGGCAGCCCTGCTTCCATCCAGCTCCCTGCTTGTGGCCTGGGAAAGCAGTGGAGGACGGCCCAAAGCCTTGGGACCCTGCACCCATGTAGGAGAACAGGAAGAAGTTCCTGGCTCCTGGCTTTGGATCCACGAAGCACCGGCCATTTGCAGCTGCTTGGGGAGTGAACCATCAGATGGAAGATCTTCCTCTCTATCTCTCCTCCTCCCTGTATATCTGTCTTTCCAATAAAAACAAATATATTAAAAAAATAAATTATGCAGGCACATCAAGTGTGTGTTTGTACCAAAATACAAATTATGACATAAAGTAGATGCAGGTTTCAACATTTGTTTTGCACCCACATTCATTTTAATGCCACTTTCCACATGTTTGTTGAAGCACCCTCAACGGCTTGATTTGAAAGTACTTGAATGTAAAGTTGGCTGTGAGGACATACAAATGCAGGATGATTCTCAGTTCATTCCTCCAACAGGGGCTAGCCTCAGCCGGTGCCAGCCTCCATCACGGCAGCTGAGGGAGGGCCTCTGTCCTCTGTCCTCCTCTGTCCTCCATCCTCAGTTTACCTAATGGAACCAAGGGCTGGACACAGGACCGAGCTTGGTCGATGACCCTTCCCCATATTTCTGACTCTGAGACATGGTTCCCCCCAACGCTTTTCCTGTCCCCCCTCATTTCTACCTGGAGCTCACACCTTGTATGCCACTAGCATGGGGCTGGAGGACGGGGCTGCATGAAGCTCAGAGGGGCTGGTTGACGAATCAGCCAGTGGGACTAACCCCCAAGTCCATGCCAATGGATTTCTCGTCCCCTTGGGGATGTGAACCCCGATTTGTACCCCTGCAAGGCTTAATAAGCAGGATGCACAGGGTACCATGAGAAGCAATTTGGCTGTTTATTTCCCACTCTCCCCTCAGATGTGTCCTAGGGACCAATGATTACCATCCTCTTGAAGTGAGCATCCTGGGTCGCTTCAAGTGATAAACAAATTTCATATTACAATTAAAAAATCAAAGAGTGGGATAGTAGTTAATCTCTATCTGCGGCACAACATCCCATATGGGTACCAGTTTGAGACCTGGCTGCTCCACGTCCCATCCAGCTCCCTGCTTGTGGCCTGGGAAAGCAGCAGAGGATGGTCCAGAGCCTTGGGACCCTGCACCCACATGGGAGACCCGGGAGAAGCTCCTGGCTTGGAGCTCCTCCCTCCAGCGGCCTTCTGCTGCAGAGCCTGTGGGGCAGTGGTGGTGGCTCATGGGCTGAACGCTTTCTATCCACTCAGGTGATCTGGACTGAATTCTTGACGTCTGGTTTCAACCTGGCCCAGGCTTGGCTGTTGTGGCATTTAGGGTATAAAGCAGGGGTTGGGAGCTCTTTCTCTCTCAACTATAAAAACCAATCAAGGCCGAATTCGCTTGCAACACCGCAGTCTACCCTCAACAACAGGAAGGGGGTGTGTGGGACAGCGAGAGTCCAGGTGACTTCCCAGCTGATGAGTTACCAGGGCTGTCCTCACACACAGGTGGCTTGTGGTCTCTCTGTGGCTGGGGAAGAAGAGGAGGTGGCTCAGCAAAGTTCTGACTTGGACCAGCACAGCATGAACTGCTGGTATGGAAGCATCTTGAGTTCTGTGTGTGGGCACAGTTGGATTGTCACCCAGTGGTGTCCTTTTGTGAGTTCTTCCAAGTCATTTTAGCCGACTCAGTCTCTGGGTCCTGGGTGCAGCTCACGCGTCCCTGGGTTCATGGTTGCCAATGCTACATCTTGTCTCCAGGGGGCGCTCTAGGACGGGCCTCGTTCAACTCGGGCTCCTACAGCTGCCTCTCATCCCGTCTGTGTGTCTCACAAGCTTCCCTTCCTCCCTCCCTCCTTTCCTTCTTTCCTTCCTTCCGTCCTCTCTCTTTCTTAAAGATTTATTTTATTTACTTTTATTGGAAACTCAGATCTACAGAGAGGAGAGATGGAAAGATTTTCCATCTGCTGGTTCACTCCCCAAGTGGCTGCAATGGACAAAACTGATCTGAAGCCAGGAGCTTCTTCATGTTCTCTCACATGGGTGCAGGGTCCCAAGGCTTTGGGCCGTCCTCTACTGCTTTCCCAGGCCACAAGCAGGGAGCTGGATGGGAAGTGGAGCTGCCAGGATTAGAACCGGCACCATATGGGATCCTGGCATGTACAAGGTGAGGACTTTAGCCAATAAGCTACTGT